GGGTGTCTCACCTGCAGCCAAGGTTGGAAGCAAGCTCTCCATCACCACCCACCCCCCTGCCCTCTCCAGCTGCGGGGTGGGGGAGAGGGGCTTACCCAGTCCCTGAGGACTTCACACCAGCTCTGGCTGGTTCTTCCTGGCTTTTCTTGTCCTATGTGCCCTGCTTACAGGGGCTTGCCGTGGTCTGTCACAGTTGGTGGGCAGGGGCGGGGTTGCCACTCACTTCCCCATGGCCCCGTGGCACTAGGGCCCAGGGATCGGGGCCCCAGTGCTGTGGCTGGACTGGGTCACGACTGGCCGTCTCCCTCTCCCTGCCCGCAGGTCAAGGACGGTGCAGGGCACTTCTCAGGCTGCTAATCTCAAGTACGTGGCATGGGGACCACGGGGTTTTATTTTGCCTTAAAGTTCCAGAGGAAGCTGCCTCTGTAGTCTGCGGGCTGTTCAGATGTACTTTATCTGCCTTTTAAGAGGGGTGAAGGAGGAGTGGGGCCTGCTGGCGTAGTAAAGGACATCCCATAAAGCAGAGGCGAGGCTCTCCAGTGGAAGAGGACCAGCTGCAATTAACATTCACAGGGCAGGTTAGGAATCTGGAGCAAGCGGCCACCATGGCTCTGAGTACAGTGTTGGGGTTGATTTTTCTTTCCCCCTGGCTGGTCTGTGCCCACCTGCCCCACTAGCATGTAGCAATGCGGAATCCAGATGGCTGCTTCCGTCATTGGTACGTATCATCAGATGAGCTTCTTGCCCATCCAGACCCCCTTTCCTCCGTTCTCCACACCGGGCACGAAGCAACCCGGAACGCTGTTTCTTTGCGCCGGCACCTCTGGGCTCCTTCTCACACTCTTGATTGTTGGGGAGGTAGAAAATTTGGCTGTTTTTTTCCTCCATTCTCACCAGAAGAATGTTGCTGAATGCAAAAATGCTAATCCAGCCTCTTCCGCCTTCTGGGGCTGGCTGCTTCTGAAGTTGCTCCATTTCACAGCAGAGTGTGGACGTCCGCAGCCAAGAAACCAAGCCACTGGGTCTCGAGGCTCCTCCCAGCAGGACCGCCTGGGATTTCCCACTGCGTGGGAAGGGTGAGGGGTGGGCTGCTGGAGAAAAGCCCTGCTGGGAGAGGGCACTGTCATGGCTGGCAGGGTCGAGCGGCCCCCGACCAGGTATCAAACCCGTGCCCCCTGCAGTGGAAGCGCGGAGCCTTAACCACTGGACCGCTAGGGAAGTCCCAGGGTCGACCTTCAAGGCGCCCTGGCCCCCAGCCCGCACCAGGCAGGAGGCAGCCTTTTCTGAATGGAGAAAATGCCATGGCAACAGCATCAGGATGACATACTCCTTTACGCTGAAGGTTTAATGGGAGCCGTGTCTGCCCCTTCACAGCCCTGCCCTTCACAGCCCTGTCCAGCCCTGCCCTGCCCAGGCCTGCTCAGCCCCTGGTCATTAGCATATCACCGGGGACCTCTAAAAGGTCAGCCCTTTGCAGCCCGGGTCACTGGTGCTTTGATCTTTCTCCATCCCAAGGGCTAGCTGGCGGGAATGACTTGGCCCTTGTCCCCTGGAGCATTGTGTTTCTGCTGTTGCACCAGGATTTATCTTCTGTTTTGACAATTTATGTGATAAAAGAAATGAGCCTGAACTTTGCGTCCTCTGGCCTGGGGACAGGACGGAGGGAGGGAGCCCATGGGAGTGGCCACAGTTGCAGGGCAATCAGATCCAACTCAGTTCTGTTGCTGGGGGAATTCTTTTATGAGGAGAGGAAAACGAGAACTGATTTGAGCTCCTTTGTCAGCCGTACCTCCTTCATCTGTCTCAGCCGAGCCAAATACCCACAGCTGTATTTCTGTGGCATATCCAGCAAAATGAAAAGAAAGAAGCATTCTTTGGGGGTTGGTTCTTTATAATCAAAAGGAGTATCTATCTTTTAGCTTGAAAACTCAGAACGCCGGTAACTGAATAGAAAGCGCTGACCCCGAGGATGGGTTCTCATGCCTTTGACCCCCTTCCTGGTGCCGGGGGAGGGGGAGGTTCATGGACTCTGCTGCTACCCCTAACTTGGATGTGAGGTTCATTGATTGAACGTTTCCTCTGTTAAGCCTCCAAGACAGTGTCCCCGTGGCCCTGCCACGGTGCCACTGCTGCTCTCTCTTCCCGAGCCTGTGCCGTGGCCCGTGCTGTGACTGGCCAGACCACCGGCGGAGGGCGGCCCTTTGGCCGGCTGGCCTGTCCCTTCGCTGGCTCCGTAGGGTCGCAGGCAGGACGGCTTTATTAGGGGGCCACTGGGTTTGTGGCCGCAGACACCCCTGCTGTGTGACCCCGGGGGGGAGTCCCCTCCTCTGGGTGTGGACACCTTGAAGGGGAGGGCCCTTCAGAGAGGCGAGTGGCCGGACGAGCGGGGGGTGGGGGTGGTGGGGGATGGGGGCAAGGGTCGTCCCGACGCTGCCTCGTTCTGCCCTCACCTCGAGCAGCCTCTGCCCTCTGTCTTCCCTTCTCTAGACTGGACGGTGCTTTGGCCATTCCTCCTGCGTGCCTGCCCCTGCTCTCCCCCGATCAAATGCTCCTGCCAAGTGGCACCGTGGGCTCTGGTGGTTGAGACCCCCGCCCCCCGCCCAGCCCACCGCACGCATGGGCTCATCAGGGGTGACTCTCACCGCTTGGGGGCAGGTTTGCTCATTCGCGGGTAGGGAGTCTTTGGGTGCCCAGGGTGACGAATAAAGGGGGTGAAAAGTTTGGGGATATAGCCTTTTTGGTAAAAATTAAAGCAGTGAGGCTTTTTCCATGCAGAATGAAGGCTGTTGCACAGATGTTTGGAGCAGCAGCAGTAGCTGTTTGGAGTGTGTGCTCACCGCTTGTAAGGACAGCCTTCGTTTGGGCGTGTGAGTTCCAGGGTGTTGTGTACAAAACGAGCGTCCCTTCTCCGCAGCTGCCTCCGGTAAAACAAGGCCCCTTCCAACATGTACAGAGGTCGCGGGGTTTTTATGGAGCGTCAGTGGAAGTGCGGGTTGTTTGAAGCTTTTGTTGAAAGGGGGGTCATGGTCTCCCTCTCGAGAATTGTGCAGTTAGGATGGGGCAGGCTTGGAATTCAGCTCAGATCCCAACGTTGGGTCCAAACTCGCCTGTGCTAACTGCTGAGGCCATATCAGCAAATGCCTAGGCGTTAGAGACAGACAGACCTGAGACCGGATGTCAGTGCCACCAACTCAGCTATGTGATCCCGGCCAAGGACCCAACCTCTGAGCCTCACTTCCTTCTTTCTAAATGTGGGAGAGAATCATGCCTACCTTAGGGGGATTTTTTTTTTTTAATTTTTAATTGTGTTAAAATACACATAACAAAATTGGCCATATTCACCATTTTTAAGTGTTAAATACATTCACATTGTCGTGCAACCGCTCTCTAGACCTTTTTCGTCTTGCAAAACTGAAGCTCTGTCCGCATTCAACAGCAACTCACCACCTCCTTCCCCCAGCCTCTGGCACCCACCATTCTACTTTCTCTCTATGAATTTGACTACTTCAGGATGCTCAAATAAGTGGAATCACACAGTATTTATCTTTTTGTATCTGGCTTGTTTCACTCAGCATAATATCCTTGAGGTTCTATTCATGTTGGAGCAGGTGTCAGAATTTCCTTCCTTTTTAAGGCTGAATAATATTCCATTGTGTGAACCTACCACATTTTGTTTATCCATCATCTGTGTCTAGACACCTGGGTTGCTTCCTGGCTATTGTGAATAATGCTGCTGTGAACATGAATGTGAAAATACCTCTTTGAGATCCTACTTTCAACTCTTTTGAAACTCTTTTTGGGTGTGCACCCAAAAGTGGAATTTCTGGATCATATGGTAGTTCTCTTTTTGATAATTTGAGGACCTGCCATTTTTTTGTTTTTTCTTTTTTTTTGGCAGTACGCGGGCCTCTCACTGTTGTGGCCTCTCCCGCTGCGGAGCACAGGCTCCGGACGCGCAGGCTCAGTGGCCATGGCTCACGGGCCCAGCCGCTCCGCGGCATGTGGGATCTTCCTGGACCGGGGCATGAACCCGTGTCCCTTGCATCGGCAGGCGGACTCAACCACTGCGCCACCAGGGAAGCCCCCTGCCATATTTTTTATAAGGGCTATATCATTTTCCATTCCCACCAACAGTGCACAAGCAGTTTCTCCACATCCTCTCCAGCACTTGTTATTTTCTGTTTTTTTTTAAATATATATTTTATTTATGGCTGTTTTATGTAACTGGATCTTCATTGTGGCACAAGGGGTCTTTTAGTTGCGGCATGCGGGCTTCTTAGTTGTGTCACGCATGTGGGATCTAGTTCCCCCACCAGGGATCGAACCTGGGCCCCCTGCATTGGGAGCGCAGAGTCTTAGCCACTGGACCACCAGGGGAGTCCCTATTTTCTGTTTTTTTTGATAGCAGCCGTCCTAGTGGGTGTGAGGTGGTATCTCGTTGTTTTGATTTGCATTTCCCTAATGACTAGTGATTTTTAACACTTTTTTTTTCATGGACTTGTTGGCCATTTGTATATCTTTTTTGGAGAAATGTCTGTTCAGGTCTTCTTTATTTATTCTAAAGGATACTCCTCAGATTTGCAAATATTTTCTAACATTCCGTAGGTTACTCCGTTTTTACTCTGTTGATTGTGTCCTTTAATGCACAGAAAGTTTTAAATTTTTGTGCAGTCTGGTTTATCTATTTTTTCTTCCGTTGCCTGTGCTTTTGTTGTCACATCCATGAGTGAAATCATTGCCACACCCAATGTCATGAAGCCTTTCCCCTGCGTTCTCTTCTGAGAGTTCTAGCTCATGGGAGTTTGGTGAATGAAGGGCAGGCTTAGGAGTCAGCCCCCGGCCCCCCTCCCAGGTATTCTCGTGGGAGCAGCACCCAGAGGTGCTGTCGGCTCAGCCCATCTGCCTGGTGGGAGAGTGGGGTGGGTCCGGGTCCCTCCTCTTCCCCGCCGGGGTCCTTATTCCAGGAGAAGTGTAAGCCAGTTTTCTTTCTGAATTTGCAGAAAAGGCTACAGACGGCTCCCTGCAGAGCGAGGACTGGACGCTGAACATGGAGATCTGCGACATCATCAATGAGACGGAGGAAGGGTGCGTGTCCCCCACCCAGGGCAGGCGGGCGGCGGGCCGCTCGAGTCGGTCTGTGTGCAGCCCGCTGCCCTGACGTCTGACAAGTGGTTTTCCTCACCGTCCTCCCCCCGCCCGCGGTCAGAGCAGTGACCGCCTCTTAATCACAAGGGGAATGACGTTGCTTGGCTTCGGGGTCCCCTGCAGCACGATCCCCACCTCCTCCCGCCTTCCGCAGCCCTGGGGACTGGCTGGAGTCCCAGGAGGGAGAGGCCCCCGGGGTCTGTGGGGTAGTGGAAGGCGGAGCGCGGGGCAGACTTGTGAGGCCCAGGCCCCGCCCCCCTGCGCTGCCGGGTCTGTTCTTGCTGCTGCATTTACGTCCTCTTCTGCATCACAGGCACATTCCATGTGTACTGCTTCCAAATTAGTCGGTATGTGGCCCTCTGTCCACACCGTAAAAATGGAATTTACGGTAGCCACGCCCTCTTAAACCCTCTCCAGACCTGGGCAGCCCTGGCCTTGGCACTGTCCTTACTGGCCTTGCCACGTGGAGGCTGGGGACCAGCCTCTGACGGTTGGCCCTGCCTTCATTCAACAAACATGTCCTGAGTGACCACCTCATGCCGGGTCCCAGAGTGAGTACTGAGGGCACAGCAGGGACGGGCCAGACGGAGTCCCTCCCCTGCACCACGAGCAGGACAGCTACCACGCACCCTGGTCAGCTGGTGACATGGCTGGGGAGGAAGAGCTGGGGGTGAGTGCTTGTGAACAAGTCACCCAGGAGGGCCTGGCCCAGGTGGCTCGAGGGGCGGAGGTGTGAGCACCAGGCCAGGGAAGGGCTTCCCAGCGCACGGTCCCAGGACAGAGGGGCTCTGTTGTGTCTGAGGGACAGCACTGGGGCCGGGGGGCTGGGATCCAGGCAGGGACCCTGTCTTCCACTTGGTCTGACGTTCATCTTATTTATTTATTTTTAAAGATTTATTTATGATTTATTTATTTAATTTATTTTTGGCTGCATCAAGTCTCAATTGAGGCATGCGGGATCTTTCCTTGTGGTGCGCGGGCTTCTCTCTAGTTGTGGCGCGCGTGTTTTCTCTCCTGTAGTTGTGGTGTGGGCTCTGTAGTTTGTGGCATGCGGGCTTAGTTGCTCTGCGGCATGTGGGATCTTAGCTCCCTGACCAGGTATCGAACCCACATCCCCTGCATTGTAAGGCGGATTCTTTACCCCTGGACCACTGGGGAAGTCCCCATTTTATTTTTTTTTATAGTTTTTTTTGTGTTTAAATTTATCTGGCTCCACCAGGTCTTAATTGCAGCACTTGGGATCTTTAGCTGCAGCATGTGGACTCTTAGTTGCAGCATGCAGGATCTAGTTCCCTGACCAGGGATTGAACCCGGGTCCCCTGCATTGGGAGCATGGAGTCTTAGCCACCGGACCACCAGGGAAGTCCCTGAGGTTCATTTTAGGGACCACGCTGGCTGCCATGCCCAGGACGGCTGGGCTGGGGCTGTCACAATCACCCTGGTGTGAAGCGATGGCAGCTTTGACTGGGGTGGCAGTAGAGGGGGTGAGAAGCCATGAGAGTCTGAGCATTTCTGAAGGCGGAGCCGGTGGAATTTGTGCCGTGGGCCTGAGAGGAGAGACAGGATAGATAATCCGAGGTTCGGGGCAGCTGCATCCCGAGGCCCAGCAGGCCGGGTTGGAGGTTCAGCTAAGGTTCAAGCCCTTCTGAGGCAGCGCTGGCGGGAGGGGTGGAGGGCTTGGCCGCCCTAGGGGCAGCAGGTTGGGAGCCCTCTGGGAGGGGAGCTGCAGGCGACCAGCTCGGTCCTGGCAGGAGACGGGATGTGTTGAGGAGAAGGCATTTTAACCCCGCGGCCCCTGGCCTCCTTCCTGCCCACCCCACCCCCGGCCTGTCCACGTTTATTGAGCCCACGGGTGGGGCGCGGCCTCTGAAGGCCGAGGCGGGTGCTGGACGGGTGGCCGAGGCCGTGGGTGCAGAGGGGAGGAAGTGGGAAGTGCGGGGGGGTGGGATGGGCATCTGGACCAGAGGCCGGAAGGGGGCTCAGGCCGCGGGCACTCTAGCTCCCTTTGCCCATGTCGCCCGCCCCTCCGTCTGCCACACCGAGCTCCTCCCTCACCCACGGGCCTTCCTGACGTCTCTCTGGCCCCGCTGGTCTTTTGGTTCCGTGAACCTCCCACTCTCATGCCCAGCTTGCGGGTCCCCAGGAAGCGCGGAACGTGCACACGTGTCGGAACGGAGCGTCCTCGTCCCATGGGGGCTGGAGCCCAGCCCCTCCCCCTGCCTTGTCGAGGGAGGGTCCTGGCCCCTGCTGTTGGCCTCTTCCTGAATGAGGGGAAGCCTGCCCTCTCCCTGTCCCAACACCCCGCGGATAAGCCCCCGTTGTGTGATCCCCTCACAGCCCGTATTGTACTTGGGCTCGCCACAGCTCAAACTCGCGTGTTCTGATGTGTGTGGGAGGGAGTGTCTGTCTCGCCCCCAAAGCCCTGGGCCCCGAGCTCCCTGAGCCAGGCATCTGTCTTCCTTACGGCCACATCTCCACCACCTGGACACATTCGTGAGGTAAGAGAGTAAGTGGATAAAGTCCCTGGGAATTCAGGGCCTGAGGACGAAGGGGGTCGTGACCCAGGGCGACATGGGCTCCACGAGGGAGGCCAGTGCCAGGCGCCTGGGGAGGGGCAGCCAGGTGGGGTCCAGCAGCCGCCCAGGGGTCAGCGGGCAAGGTGGGTGGATGGCAGGGCAGGAGAGAGGGACCAGGGGCCTGGGTGACCCTGGGTGGGTTCCCCTCCCATCTCGGTCCGCTCGGGTATAAAGTGGGCCCCAGCAGTGGCTCGCTCGTGGCTTCACTGCCCCGCCCTGTGCCCGGCCCATGCGAAGCCCCGGCCCACACCAGCTCAGGCAGCACCCTCCAGCCCAACAGGGCAGGGCCAGACTATTTTAATGATGAGGGGCTCAGGCTCCAGCACGGGAGCTCTGTCCGTGCTTCCTTTATTTATTCGGAGCTCACCTCTGGGAGACGGTCCTGCTGAGCACCGATCTTATGAGCTGTCCTGCAGGCCCCTCCCTGGGCTTGCCCTAACGCCCAGGCTGGGGTCACCTCCAGCCTGGGGCCTTGTGTGGCTGCCCCTCGTGCCCTGGACCCTTGGTCACTAGGCAGGAGTGCCCTGGCTAGATGACCTCCCCGGGATGTTTTAGACCCTGTTTACCAGGCCTCACCCAGACCTGCCAAGTTAGGTGCAGCAGGCATGTGGATTTAGTAAATGCCCTTCAGGCAATTCTGACATGCGGCTCTGGTGAGGATCCCCTGACTTGGTCGTTTTCATGACCATCTTGGACCGTCCCCAGCTCATGGACTCTTTGTGCCCCAGCCTCTAAACTGGAGTAGCCCCGGATAAATGCAATGGAGCAAGGGAACAGCTGGGAGGGGGCGGCCGGGAGGAGAGGAGGTGTCCAGGGTGGGCGGGGCGGGGCATCGCCCCCCTGCGGGGTAAGTGGGAAGCAGCTCAGAGGTGGTAGTTCTGGAGCCAAAGGGCAAGGTGGGCTCAGGATGACCAGAGAGAAGGTCTCTTCTGGGTCTGGGGTCCAGCTCCCGCAGCCCCGACCTCTCCCCCTGCTTGGGGCCCTTTCCTGCTCTGCTGGGCTCCAGCACCCCACTCCCCTCTCCCAGTTTCCTGCTCTGCGTCTGATCGGCTGCTGTGCGGTTCCTCTGACAGGACTTTGATTCTGTCTCCGAGGCTGCTTCCCCGGGGAGAGAGAGAAATACTTGCTTTGGTGCTCCCCAGTGCCTCTCAAGCAGCACTTCCCCGATGGATTTTCGGTGGATTTTCACTTTCTCTCTAACCCGGGAGCCTGCCGCCTCTCTGATTTCCCGCCACCGTGTGCCCCCCCAACCCAGGAGCTCCATGAGTCACAAGTGAGCAGAGCCCTGGGAGGCTCTTCCCATGTAGTGCCCCGTGGAAGTTCAAGAGGAGGGATGAGAGCGTGCCCGGCGGGGCCTTTGAGACAGAGGAAATCAGTCCCCGCTCCTGGCCGGCGGCTGCTGACCTTCATCAGCCCCAGGCCACCAAGTCCTCAAAGCCGAGAGCCTGTCGAGTCCCATGTTTGCAGAAATCAGCACCCCTGCTTGGGAACTGCAGCCACACTGCAAACACACCTGGCAGGGACCCCTCCCCAGGGAGCCGAGAAGTTCCGCGGGGAAGCCATGCTTCAGGTGACTCGGGTCTGTTTATTCCTTGTAGAAGCCTCGCCTTGCTTCTGTGTGTTTCTGTTGAAATTGGGCTGATTGGCAGAGCTGCTCCCCTCTCCTTCCCCAGCTCCCTCACGCACTTCTTGAGAGTATTTTTTTTTTTTTTTTGTCTTTGTTTCTGGGCGCAGGCTTTCTCTAGTCACGGCGGGCGGGGGCTACTCTTCTTTGCGGTGCACGGGCTTCTCATTGCGGTGGCTTCTCTTGTTGTGAAGCACGGGCTCTAGGCACGCAGGCTCAGTAGTTGTGGCTCGCCGACTCTAGAGTGCAGGCTCAGTAGCTGTGGTGCATGGGCTTCGTTGCTCTGCAGCATGTGGGATCTTCCCAGACCAGGGCTCGAACCCGTGTCCCCTGCATTGGCAGGTGGATTCTTAACCACTGCGCCACCAGGGAAGTCCTGGTAAATAGATTGTGTTTCCAAACTGTCGGAATAGGAGGCCCCGATTTATGAACCTTCACTTTAGGAAAGACCCAGATTATACTGGCCTGCTGATGGGTGGGCGGCAGGAGCCCACTTGTGATAGCAGAGGGCGGGGTTCCCCAGAGTGGGCCATGGGCACCGGGGGACCCTTAGACACGGGCACTGCGCCTAGTAGATGCCCTCAGGGGCTGGCTGGAGACCCGCCTCCCAGCGTGGCTGTGGTTTCAGGAGGAGTGTGTACTGGGAGCAGACAGTTGGCGTATGACAGAGCTGTTGTCAGCTGGAGGACCCTGCAGCTCTGCCTACAGGGCCCCCGGGAAGCCGGGTCAGATCTGGTACCAAAACACACAACTCACAGGGTTTTGAGCAGTCTTCAGTTTTCTCAGGGAAAAAGGAGTTCCACAGAGCCTGGAACCTGGACATCCAGATCTGCACAGGGACCTGGCCGTTCTCGCCTGTGTTTCTCTGGCGAGGTCCCTTCAGTGAACCCACCAGTGGCAGGCTGGTTATTGTTCTGGGTAAATCATACTTGCACGTGATGTGGAATTCAAGAGGGCTGCAGCCTGCGACCTGGGGAACAGCCCCTCCTCCTCGGCCCTGGCGCCCTCCCCAGGGGTGGCTCCCTCCAGGGTCCCCTCCTGGCAAAGATGTGTGCGCTGGGCATTCCTTGTCCTTTTGTAACTCACATGGCTGCGTCCCCTCTGCCCTGCTCGCAGATGACACTAGTCTGTATTTTTGGTGCGTTAAGAGTGTTTATTCTTCTGTGCAGCTGCATAGTACTCCGTTGTATGGATAAGCACAATTTAATTCAACCTGATTCACATTGATGGACATTTCGTTTGTTTCCAGTCTTTCACATTTACAAACACGCGGTAGCAAGTAACCTCGTGTACATGCTAGTTGGCACGAGTGGCCCTGACTCTGTAGGCTGGGGCTCCGGTGGGATTGGCAGGATCTGCCTATGTCTATTCTCCAGGCCAAAGGATGCCATTCGAGCCCTGAAGAAGCGGCTCAACGGGAACCGGAACTACCGAGAGGTGATGCTGGCGCTGACGGTGAGTGCCCCCCTGCCCTCCCCCAGGGCGGGAGAACGTCTGGGAGCCGCAGCTGGGGGACAGCCTGGAGTGAGCGCTGCTAGGGGTAGCTGTGCCTCCTGCTGCCGCCCCAGTGTGTCCACCCTTTGAGACGGGTGAGCCAGCAGGGACGCGGCACGGGCAGTGTTGTCCGGTGCAGAAGCCCAGAGCAGAGAAGCCACAGGCCTGGGCGTGGGTCCCCGGTGGCCAGCAGCCTGCTGTGAGGCACTGAGGCCAGCTGCTTCTCTAGGGGTCAGCTTTCTCCTTGTAAAAGTGCCGACTTCCACCGAGCACCTGCCCGAGACTAGGCTAGCTCTTCAGATGTTAACTCAAATGCTTCCAGAAACCTTCCTAAATAGGTTTCAGCATCCGCTTTTACGGATGCAGAAACTGAGGCTCGGAGAGGCCCAGAGGTTTGCCCAGACTTCACAGCTAGTGAGGTGCCAACTGGATCATGGGATAGAAACTGAACATCGCCGCAGAGGTTCTAGGGAAAGTCAGCAAGTGACTCCTTTCAGGAAGGAACAGACCAGGTTTTTGCCCGTCTTTCGGATGTCAGAAAATTAAAAGGGACAACTTCAGGTATTATTTCTGTCTTGAAAGCTAACATTTTTTCAAATGTGGCAAAAACCAGGCCACAACATGTTCCTCTAATAGAAACTGTAACAGGTCAGCATGTGGACCTCCCTGTAGGGTTGAGTAGTGGGTTGTTTATCCAAAACAGCCGTAACATGTTCCTTTTAAAGCAGAGAAACTGTTTGGATTTCTTGCCCAAGTGAAAACCCAAGACTTATTAGAGTTCTCTGCCAGGGAATTGGCATTCGAATAATGAGAAAAAGACCAGTTGAGAAACAGGGAGTTGAAAGCTTTTGTTTTTTCCTCAGAATTTCAACTGCAGCTTTCACTAAACCCACAGTGATGCCCAAAATGAACTGTTTTCAGAAACAAAAATCACCAGGGACAGGCAAAACTCACGAACTCTTAGCACGCAGGCCATTTTCCTGGCATCTAAACACCTCCCACTCCATGCCCAGCATCGTGGTAGCTGCCTGGGATGGAGATCTCTCCACCGTGGGCCCTGCCATTCCTTCCTTCCTGTAGTAGAGCATGAGGGCCACCATTTAGTGTTTCCTTAAGTCTTACATTTAAGTCTTTAGACCGTTTCAAATTAATTTTTGTGACTGGTGTAAGTTGGAGGTCCAGTTTCATTCTTCTGCATGTGAATATCTAGTTTTCCCAACATCATTTATTGAAGAGACTGTCTTTTCCCCGTTGAGTATTCTTGGCTCCCTTGTCAAATGTTAGTTGACAGTATATGTGAGGGTTTATTTCTGGGCTCTCAGTCTGTGTGTCTGTTTTTATGCTAATACCACACTGTTTTGCTTACTATAGCTAAACTATATTATAAGTTTGAAATCAGGAAGTGTGATGTCTCCCACTGTGGTCTTCTTTCTCAGGATTGTTTTGGCTGTTCAGGGTCGTTTATGGTTCCATATGAATTTTAGGATTGTTTTTTCTGTTTCTGTGAAATCTGTAGATGCTTTGGGTACTGTGGACATTTTAACAGTATTAATTCTTCTGATCCGAGAACATGGGATACCTTTCCATTTACTTGTGTCTTTACTTTCTCTTACCAATGTCTTGTAATTTTCAGGGCACAGATCTTTCACCTCCTTGGTTAGATTTATTCCTAAGTATTTATTTATTTTGATGTGGTCAGGCCTTTGCTGCAAATCCCGTAATGCCTTTGGGAGATTTGTGAAAGGTGCAGACCCATTTTTCGTCCCCTGGAGGCCCAGCCTGGCACACACTGCCTGGGCTCTTGTCTGCTCTCGTGGCTTCTCTGTCTTGTCCTTGAACTAACCCTGTTCACCCATCACAGTCCTCCTGCTTCCTGAGGGCCTTTTAACTTCATATCTGCCCCCACCAAGGTTGTCAAGATGTACCCCAAATAGGAGTTGGTCAGAGGTCTGGGGCTTCCTGCTCAGTCACTAGTGCGGCTCTGATTGCTTGGAGGCGCCGTTTGCCTACTCCGCGGGCCTTAGCTGCATTCAGGAAAGTTCCCACCGTGTTTCAGGACCAACAACCCACAGCGACAGATTTGCCTTTTTGGTAGAGCAGCCTGCAGTGGGCTTGCCAGCCAGGAGCACTTCCGCAGCTCCTGCTCTGCCGGGCGGCCCCACCGCCTCCGTCCAGGGCATTTTAAGGACCGAATGAGGGAACGAGAGCGTGGCAGAGGTTGCCTGTCGTCTGAGGCACTCGCTGATCTTGGAGGAGGGTGGCCCTGTGCCTCAGGGCGGGCGGAGGCTCAGAGGAGGCTGCAGGGGATCCTGTCCTGCTTCTGGCCTGACCAGCAATTTGTACCTACACCACTTTCTTCACCTTCTAAGCCTTTTAACTCTGGGAAAAAAAAGGGGATAACAGCCTCCACTTAAAAAGGGTGAATGAGTTGTGAGGATGGAGTGAAATGACATACAACGTGAAAGGGTCTCCCCTGGGTCAGCCATGCAGTCACGTTCCTAACATCAGTGTTAGGAACTTCCTCCATGACCAAGCTTTGTCCAGGGAAAGCCCTGTTGTCCGACCCTAGCCCCGGGGAGGGGCTGCCTGGGGTCACCAGTGGACAGTTAGTTTAGGCGAATGAGGACAAGCAAGGCGGCCAGCAGTGTCCCCTGATGCTGGTGACGTCCTTCCGTGGAGGCAGTCCCCACCAGCCAGCTGTGGCCTGGGTGCGGGCGTGGGAGGGGCCGGCTCATCGTCCGGGTCAGGGGGTTTCCAGAGAGCGAAGGGGTCCGGAGAGCTGCCTGCAAGGCTGGAGGGACCCTCCAGTGGGTGCTGTGAGCTCAAGGCCCCTCGCTCATGCGGTAGGGGCCCAGGACAGTAGCCCTGTGACACATCCTCCTGCACTGGCCCGCCAGGCAGGTCTGTGCTTCAGACACGCTCATCCTAACTGCAGTCCTGCAGCGGGGCACTCGCACCCACTTTGCAGGCAGGGAAGCCGAGCTCAGACAGACTGGCCCTGAAAGTGGACCTGAGATTCAAGCCCGCACTGGCCATTGCTCAGAACCCACAAGCGCTGTGCTTTTCTAGCGGCCGAGGCCTGTGTAACTTATTTTTCCGGACGAGGAAGGAGGGGCAGAGTTGATTCGAATGTGGCCAAGGCCGCAAACTGCATATGGGGGTGGGAGACCCGGGTCACGGCCGGTCGCAGTTGTGGAAGCAGGGTTGTGCGGCCGTGTGGGGCCTTCGCCTCTTCACGGCCAGGTCCAGTAACTCACCAGCAGTGCAGGCTGCTCCGGTGGGCTCCGCCCGGGAGGGCCCGCATCCACCGGCTGTTGCCACCAACCCAGAGGCTCGTTTCCAGGGATGCTTGGTCGTTTTGACCCCGCTGAGACCCCAGTACCCTTCTCGTGCAGATCCGGTGCCGCCCGACTGCTGTGCAGGCCCAGAGACCCCAGCCAGCAAGGGGCCACCTGTGTCCTGCAGAAGGGTTTGCCTCTGGAGGAGCCCATCGGCAGGATGGTCGGCAGTGGGGAGAGGGGGCCGCATCTCCTTGGCCCCTGGGGGTGACCTCTGTTTCCATCCCGCCCGCGTCAGGTGCTGGAGACGTGCGTGAAGAACTGTGGCCACCGCTTCCACGTCCTCGTGGCCAACCGGGATTTCATCGACGGCGTCCTGGTCAAAATCATCTCTCCCAAGAGCAACCCCCCAACCATCGTGCAGGACAAGGTGCTGGCTCTCATCCAGGTGGGTCGGCGGGGAGAGAGGAAGGCAGGGCCTCCCAGCAGCAAGTCCTCACGCTTCCCCATCCTTTGGAGGAAAGGGTGGGTGCTTCTGGGTTTAAATATTTGTTGAGAAACACTTGTTTTTTACCCTCATCCCGCTGAGATGACACCCTCAGCGGTGGCTCTCCTGGCCATTGCTGGCTGTGTCCGGGTGCCTGGCCCTCAGCTGCCCATGGGGGACAGGCCTGGAGCCTAACGGAGCCACGTGCCGGGTCCACGTGCCACAGGGCGGGGCCAACTCTGGGGTCGTGGGGGTGATGTTCAGGATTCACTGAGGACATGACAAGTCTGTTGAACCCTGAGGGGTGACAAGCTGGGTGGAAAGGTCAGAGTGCAAGGGGTATGGCAGGTAGAGAGCAGTGTGTGCAAAGGCCTGGAGCATCGAGAGCACAGGTGACACTTTGGGACGTGTTCACTATTCATTGTCCTGTAACAAATTAGCCCAAACTTAGCAGCTTAGAGCAACGGACGTTTATTACCTCCTAATTTCTGTGGACCAGGGGTTCAGGAACAGCTTAGCTGGGCGGTTCTCGGGAGGGTGCCGTCAGGGTGTCGGCCAGGGCCACCTCCTCCGAAGGCTCGGCTGGGGCTGGAGGAGCCGCCTCCAGGCTGCTCCCACACGGCACCCCCGCCAGCGGGCCCCCCCACCCCGCCAGCAGCAGGTGTCCTAGTGTCCCATGTCCTCGCCATCATCTTCCTCATAGCCCGTCTGACGGGTGCACAGAGGTTTTGCATCCTGTTGGCCTTTTTAAACCCGTCTTGGAAAGAAGGTGATGTTTTTTCCATGTTGAATGTGCTTTTAAAATGAGAAGTTAAGGTCTGATGGTCCCCTGGGAGGGCGAGGGCTGCAGCTTTTCTGAAGTCTCCAGCACCTGTGTCCCCACAGGCACGGGAGACTTCAGAAAGTCTCTCTTTGCACGGCCCCTCGCTCCCCACCCACCGTCCCTCTGACACCTTCCTAGAAGGCCGATCCCAGGCATCGTGGTCCCAGGGTGGCCCACAGAGCTGGCGTTTCCAGTGCACCTGTGAAGTCAGGATGCCCGTCCCTCCCCGCTCCCCTCCACCCCTAATCCTTCCATTCAGCCAGGCAGCCGTGTCCTCTGGCTGCCCTCCTGCCACCCCACCTCCCTGGGCCGCACGGAAAGACACCCCCTCGGGCTCGTGTGCTCAAGGGACCCTGCCCTTCAGGAGGACAGCGTGCCAGATGCAGCAGGCCCTTCTGGAAGGGACAGGGCTCCCGGTGGCCCAGGAGGAGGGGGCCTGTCCAGAGGGCGGGCCTCCCGTGACGTCCCCTTTGTGGGACATCCCCCCGATCTACGCCACCCTCAGCCTCTTCCTGGGGTTGTTCCAGGACAGAAAGGACATGGTTCTGGTGGAGGAACCTCATCCCTGCCTCCCGCACTCCCCCCAGAGTAGTGTCTAAAAATTCTCTTTCTTTCCACTGAAGAGGGGAGCTGATGGTGGGGGGGTGGGAGGGGCAGGGGAAGCCGGGGGGGTCTGTGTTCTCAGGAGGTGGCAGGGAGCCGGTGGCCGGGCTTGCAGTAGCTTCTGTGGACGGGCAGCTCCCGAAACCCTGTCCCTGTGAGTGAGAAGCCCAGGAGCATGAGCAGGACGGCACAGCAGCTTCCTTTTGTCCAGGGAACGGAACCCATTGTTTAAATCAGCAATTGTTTATTGATCTGAAATTGGATGATTTAAAACTTTGTCGAGTGCTTCCCTGGTGGCGCAGCGGTTGAGAGTCCGCCTGCCGATGCAGGGCACGCGGGTCCGTGCCCCGGTCTGGGAAGATCCCACATGCCGCGGAGCGGCTGGGCCCGTGAGCCATGGCCGCTGGGCCTGCGCGTCCGGAGCCTGTGTGTCCGGAGCCTGTGCTCCGCAATGGGAGAGGCCACAGCGGTGAGAGACTTGAGGGGTCTGGAGCAAATGGCTCATGTTTGCATAAGGTTTTAGTCCTTTCTTTGGTGTGCGACCCAGGGGAAAGGAGATCGGAACTCCCTCTGGGCCTTCCAACCCCTGACACGTGGGCACGGGTGGGCGGGGCAGGGCGTAGGGCAGTGAGCGGGTGCTGTGATGCTGACCTGCAGCCCCCAGGACAGGCCTTCTGCTCTGACAGCAGCCGCCCTGCTGCTCCCTGGCTTCTTGTGGGGAAGCAGACCTCCCGAGGCCACGGCCCCTGAGGCAGGGTCGTGATTCTCAGCGGGGCCAGCTGTCTAGAGGGGCTCCTGCGCTGTCACCATCACCTCAGTCCGCTGGCCGCCTGCGTGGCCATGCTCCCCTGTCCCTGCAGCAGGAATCTTCGCATCGGTGAGGCCGTGTTCGCTCTGACTTAACAAATGCTGTCTGACTGCCTTCTCTGTGCCCCCGGGAGACTCGGCAGCTGGGGGGCACAGGTGTGGGCACCGGCCCGGAAGGTGCCCGAGGCACACGGCGTCTCCCGCCCTGTGCTTCCCCCCAAGGTGCTGGCGTCAGGGGTGTGGTCAGTAGAGAGCACTGCCGTGGACACAGACTCTGCTAGCAGCCCCGCACCCAGACTGCACAGGGGCCCCGCGCACGATGGGGGCGGTTAGCCAGGACTGCTTGGTTGCTTGAACAGCACGTGCCAACCCCAGCTGCCTAGGCAAAGAGCAGTGCTGGTCACGACAAGGCAGGCTACCCAGAACCCCGGGTGACGGCCAGGGAGGGGACAGACCTTCTCCTGAGTGTCTGCGCCGTCCCAGCAGGCAGGCTCTCCCTGCTCCCTGGCCCGGGCTGGCATGTGGGTGCGACCCAGGGCCCACATCTACCCATAGAGCAGTCCAGCCCTCCGAGGGCCCAGGGCCAGGCTCCTGAAGCAGGAGGACGTAGTCGCTCAGGTGGGCACGTGTACCCCCTGCGGGGCCGTCCATGGGGCCTGCTGACCGCTGCTGGACAGGTGCCCAAGAAGTGTCAGCCGACTGGAGAGAACAGTCGTGGTCTTCTTATGTCAGACCTGCTGGGGGTGGAAGGCAGCATAAGTTAAAAGGGCTCCCCTGGAGCTGTTGTCTTTCTGCAGCAATGAAGGCCGGAGGCGGCTCCAGGAGGAGCTGACTGCCGCCTGCTTCTCCCCGCCTCCCCGTGAGCAGTGAAACGCGCCCCCCACCAGCGTCCAGGAGGAAGTGTGACCACGAGGGGCTGTCCTGACGTGGGCGTTAAGTCCCTGCGTGTGCAGGTTGGATGAGCAGGCCCCGGGAGGCCGGGCTCACGGCAGGGTTTGTGGTCAGTGAGATGCAGCAGCCAAACTGAACGAGGCTTTTTGGAAACTGCCCTCTTGGTCAGAGATGGGGGGAAGCAGCTGGGCCCTGTGACAGCGACAGAGCTGCAGACAGGACGGCTTTCTTCCTCCTCTGGGCCCCTCTTGGGGGCTGCCCTTTGGAGGCACTTCCTTTTTTGATATCTTCTATAACTTCCAAAGAACAGAATTTAAAGATAAATTTTGACAGTTCCTTGAATCAGAGACGAGCGGCAGCCTTTTGGAATATGTGTTCCTTCCTCCCCGTGTTGTGTCTTACATAACGGAAGCTAGTGGCCGAGCTTCCCAGCGGACTGTCGCACACGGGCGCCTGGTGCCAGCGCTGTGAGTAGCACGGGTGCACCTGCCCCGGCCGCAGTCACCTCGCCCGTCGGATGGGCGGCCAGGCAGTGTGGACTCCGGCTCCCTGACCTACTAGGGTCAGCCTGGACTTTCATGCGCGGAGCGTGGAGGCCATGCTGCTGTCCCCGCGCATCTTACGGGTGCGGCCTCTCCAGCCGCACGTTGCCAGGCACATCTCCTGGGCTCAGCCCCATGCTTCGGTGTGGTCACTCCGTCTCCGCTCTAGGATGTGCCCCACGCTGGGACTGAGTTCTGTGCTTTGCTTTCATTCGTGCTCAGCCTGGTGGCACTGGCAGGAAGGAGCAGCGTGGCTGGGCCGCAGCCCTGAGCGCCCCGTCGCCCCTAACAGGCCCCCTCCTCCCCTCCAGGCGTGGGCCGACGCCTTCCGGAGCAGCCCTGACCTCACGGGCGTCGTGCACGCTTACGAAGAGCTGAAGAGGAAGGGCATGGAGTTCCCCATGGCTGACCTGGACGCGCTGTCCCCCATACACACACCCCAGCGGGTGAGCCTTGGCGGCCGCGTCCCCAAGGGCCTGTTGCAGGGACAGCCTCTGAATTATTCAGCTTGTCATCAGCCTCCTTAGGGCTCCAGGGCGTTTCTTGTTGATAACGAGCGGGTGCGGGAGAGAGACAGCTGGTGGCTGGTGGCTCAGGGACCCCCCCCACCCGCCCCGGTTTTCACCCCAACTGTGGGAGAAGGTGACAAAGGAGCAGTGTGGACGCTGTCATGGAGATGGCCGCTAGGGTGGAGCCATCCTGGGAGGGGCCCGGCACCTGCTCTCCCGAGCCCAGGCATCTGGTGTGGGGACCGCATCTCCCAGGGCGGCCGGAGGAGCCCCACCTCCACATCGGCAACGCCGAGGGGCTGGCGAGGTCCCTTTTCATGGGTTTTTGAACTGGACAAGTCAAATGGATCTAAAATTTACTTTGGGCTATGAGTGGTCACCCTTGACTCCCGTCAGCCTTGGGATGCAAAGCCCCGGGAGGGCCCGCTGAGGGCAGCTCCCACATGCTAGCAGCTTCAGGAGGGAAGGTGCCCAGGTAACGCCATCCTTCCTTTTCGGGGGCAGCCAGGCCCTCTTCTGCCCCGGGAGAGCCGGAGGCTCAGGATCTGGGAGAGGCACCCACCCCAGCTCCCTCTGCCACGGCCCCGTTTGTCCATCTCTGAGGGACGGTGCCGTGCAGGCCTCCCGCGTGGGCACGGCTCACGTTCAGGGGGTCGCGAGGGGCCCAGAGGGAAGCACGAGGACTTGGGCTTTCCTAGTGTTTCTCTCACGTGATCCCTCCAAGCCACTTGCTGCACCTTGTGGAGTAAACCTGTTTTATTCTTCGAATCGTGACGCAGAGCAGCGTGGCGGTTCCTGTAGTTACAGAGAACGTTCAGCAAATTGCATAATTACTGTTTCTATTAGTCCGCTTGTAAAGGCCAAAAAGTAACCTTCTGGTGCCAAACGGGGGCTCCTGATTAGAAAACTTACCAGCAGGCCCTCCCCTCCGATCCCGAGGTGGTCCTGACGGTGGGAGAGTGGCCAGAGCCCTCACAGGGTGCGCTGGGGGCTGCCTCTGTGGCCCGCCTCGGTGTCTGTGAGGTTCGTGGAGGGAGGAGGGGTGGGGGGGCGGGGGCAGTGCCAGGCCACTGCCCAGGCGGCCAGGCGGACAGAAGGCTTTGTCGTTGCCGTGCAGAGCGTCCCGGAGGTGGACCCAGCCACCAGCATGCCCAAGTCCCAGTCGCAGCCGAGGACGAGCAGTGGCTCCTCCTTGGTGCCGCAGGCCCCGGCTCTGAGCGCTGCGGGCCCCATCACGGCCAATTCAGAGCAGGTACGTGCACGCTTAGGGGCCACAGGCGAGCCTGCCGCTGCCCTCGGTCTCCCAGGAGACAGAGGAGGCCTCCCCAGACGGGCCCTGTGAAGGGTGTCGGCGACACGGGTGCAAGTGCCCGGCCCTCCTGAGGGCGCGCTGTCCAGGGCAGTGGTCACTCGAGGTGGGCGGTTTGGAGGACGGGGCGGGGCAGGGGTGGGGCTGGCAAGAATCACAGCAGGAGGTGAGGCCAAAAGCCCGGGAGCGAGCGAGCGGAGTTGTGAAGGGCCTCGGGTGTCCACAGAGAGGTTTAGACTTATCCTGAGAGAAGTCAGCCTGGGCCAGGGCGGAGCCTGCAGGGAGGACCAAGTCCTGCTGCGTCCCGAGCAATGCCCAGTCTCCCCGAGTTATTTCCTGCGGAGCTAATGCTGCCTCAATGCCAACCTGGATTCTTTTGGAGGAGTCTGGAGACGAGTCTTTAGACGAATCTATAGAACTTCCATTAGTTAAAAAGTGAGGATTGGTCAGACTTGAAAGAAAATCCATCCACTGTTTCTGTTTTTTAAATTCTCATTTACTATTGGTGACAGTTTCATTATTATGGAACCTCATTTAAACAGAGGGCTCAAGCGATTGTGTCCGGTTAGCGGAGTGTGTGCACATTTCCGCTCTGTGGGCCCCGAGGAGGGGGTAGCCGGGCAGGTGGTGGGCTGGGATCGGACAGGCCTGGGCTCAGCCCGCTGCTCCTGGTGAGGCTTCAGCCGGGTCGCTTAACCTCGGTCTCCTGTCAGTAGACCGGGCGGCGGTCCTTCTCTCCTGCCCTACGGGCGTCATGGGCCGGCTGGGCAGTGGCAGGAAGGCCCCTGGGATCCCCGGAGCAGGGAGGAGGTGGAGGCCGCAGCTGAAACTACTGCTGCCCCTCCTGGGCCCCCGCCACAGCCGGCACCAGGCCTCCCAGGTGGCCCTGGGAAGAGGGAAGGCGGACGCGTTTGCAGTTGGACGGCCACCGAGACCCTCCCCTGATTGGCCGTCTGCGCCCGGGGGGAGGTCGGGAGCGGTCGGAAGGAGGGTCTGGGATGGGCGAGGGGACATGGGCAGGGGGCTGAATGCGGTGAAGAGGGACAGCAGACCCGACTGGGCAGTGCGGGGTGTGCCCCTGGATGGCCACGGCTGGCCTGTGAGGTCACCTTTGCACAGGTGAGGACACAGGCTCAGAGAGCTGTCCCTGCTGTGGGAGAGGCAGCCCGGGTCCCGGCTCTGGGGAGCTCTGTGGAGCTGGCAGTGGGGACAGCCACCCCTGGATGGGGAGCCGGTGGGGAAGGCACGGCTCAGAGGCCGCTGTGCTTGGAGCCTCGATTCCGGGCCAGAGCCTGCAATTGTGAGGTTCCTAGTCGAGGACCCCAGACCCGCAGGGACCTCGGAGGCCACGCTCTCCACCACGTGAAGGAGCAGAAACGGGGCCTGAGAGCTCACTTCCCCTGCAGGCCCCGCTCGGCCCCCTCCCCCCGCGCTCCGACCCAGCACTGCCCGCGCTTCCCAGGGCTCCCAGCTGCCGGCGCCCCCCGTGCGCAGACGCAGACAGAGCTGGACCGCGTCCACCTGGTGCAGGCTCACTGACCCCATCCCCACGCTTCCCCCGGCCCCCACAGATCGCCAGGCTGCGGAGTGAACTGGACGTCGTTCGGGGAAACACAAAGGTCATGTCCGAGATGCTAACGGAGATGGTTCCCGGGCAGGAGGACTCGTCCGATCTGGAGCTGCTGCAGGTGAGGGCCTCCGGGCGGGGGGTGGGCAGGATGGGGTTCGGGGCCCGTCCTCTAGAGGGACCGAGCCCGAGGAGGCCCGCGTCCAGCCCACGCATCCCGGAGGCGGTCAGAGGCCAGTCCCAGGTGCTCTCTTCTTTATCCTCTTTAAAAACGTTTTTTCCTCATTGTAAAATGCCAGTTGCAAAATACGTGCCCATCGAAAGAAAAAGGAAGTACAAAGAAGAAAATGGTTTTCTTTAACCCCAGCGTCCTCAGATAAGCACTGTCGGTGTTCTGATGTATTTTCTTTCAGACATTTTTTCCATGTTTATTTCACATGGGGTTGAGATGGTATCAGGTGTATGATTTTATGTGTCGCTTTGTTCACCCAACATGACGTCACAAACGTGCAGGGACCGCTAGCTGTTCCTGCTCGTGGGAGCCACTTCTGAGACTTCTGGGGTGAAGCTGAGGGTCCCCGGCCAGGGTGGCCCACGTCCTGGCTCCAGAGGCTCTGTGGCTCACTGGCCACCTGCAGGTCTGGGAGCCAGGCGGAAAGAGCTGGCCTGCAGGGTTCCTACCCCAGGTCCGCCAGGCCCAGAGCTGGCGCCCAGCTCTCCTGATACCGTCTCAGAGACTTTGGCATCGGTGGGAAGTGGCAGCGGCCCTGCCCGCAGAAGCAGCACCTCCTGGAGGGTGGAGAGGACGCTGTGAAATGTGAGGGCCAGCGGGGAGCACCTCCCACGCCTGCCCCTCGGGGCAGCCGGTCTTGGTCCCCTGAGGGCCACGCTGGCTGCTGTCCTCCAGAAGGGCACGCTTCCCAGGTGGCCTGGTCCCAAGCAGCTCTTGCCGTGCCCCCTTCCAGCCCCTAAGGGGGTGAGGGTGTGGGTGGGGGAGACCTGCCCAGGGTGTGGGCTGTGGTCCCCGCTCTGGAGGATCTCACAGCGGGCGGCCTACCTACCTGGGTCCGGGCCCTCCGGCTGCTCTGGACGCCGAGCGACCAGTGCCCGCAGCAGCCCAGCTTCAGGCATGCCATCAGTGCCGCGTCAGCCTCCATCTGCGGTCTGCGGGGTTCTTCCAGGCGTTACCCAAGGCGCAGGAAACTGAGATCAGTCCAGGAACAGTGCAGGAACTGAGGGGCCTCTCGAGGCAGCTCTGTGCTGTGTCAGCACCAGAATTCTTGCTGACAGGGGTTTGCAGTGGACAGAGCTGAGTTCCTGGTAGCAGGCGCAGCAGAACAAAGCCAGCCCTGCGGACAGCCAGGGCCAAGCAGACAGCACACACCTCTGCGTGTGCGTGTGTGTTTAAACACGCCCATCAGCCAAGACAAACAGAACCTGATCTCCTGGCGTCAGCTCACAGTTTTCAAAAATAGGTTGCTTCCCATGACGTTTCCCTTCCCTCTGTCTTGTTCCAACTCCAAGCCTACCGACGTCGCTGCTATCTTATAAGTCAAACAGAGAGAATGGTTCTGGGTGTCAGTGGGAGGCTGTCCTTTCGGCACGAGAGACTTGGGAGCCGGCAGCTCTGTAAGCAGACACGGCTGTCCTGGCCGCTGGCCTCACTCCTCGAGCCAGCCGAGCAGGATCTCCCAGGGGTTGGGGCTGCATGTGGGAAAGTGCCACGGTCTGCTTGGAAAGGGATGGGATCAGACTGTGCCCCGGGACCCCTCACTCGAGCTGGAGGGTGGCCAGATTGCTCAGGGCAGAAGCTACCCAGAGCTCAAAGTGGAAATAAATGCGTTTGTCACCAGCCCAAGTGTTCGTGCCCACAGAAGCTGCTGTGGATTTGAGTAAACTGCTGGGAGGAAATGGGAAGAGGGAAACGGGAGGTGTCGGCGAGGGCGCGCCGCTGCAGCGGACCAGCATCCTGGCCGGCTGTGTCCGGATGGCTTCCTGTGCTTTGCACAGGACTTGCAGGTGTGGCCTCACCCGCGGCTCGCAGAGTGGCAGGAACTCAGGCAGCGTGGGCGAGGGGAGGCGGGACCCCGGAGGGAGCATAGCAGCTTCCCTCTCTGGGCTGGGAGAGACCTGGGAGGCGACTTGTCCAGCCCCACCCTGTGCTGATTCCCCATGCCGGCAGCATGCCTGGTGCTGCCTTGTTTCTGAACATCCTCAGCGACAGGCTGGGGAGGCACTTCCGCCTCCAAACACATGACCTGGATAGACTTTGGGAAGCAGCACGACAGGGCAGGAAGAGCCACGGCTTAGGGATCCCTGGCTTCACTCTGGGCCTGGCCGCTGATGAGCCAGGTGACTTAGAGCCTGGAGCAACCTCTCCCCGTTGGCCGGTCGGGAAGCGGCTGCTTGAAGCCCGTCCACACCGTGCCTGCAGCCCCGGTCTGTCTGCTCCACCCGCTGGAGCAGACACAAGTTCCTCCCTCACGTAGCAGGTCCTTCCATGCTTGCAGGCTGTCGGCCGCCCTCCCTCGGGTGGCCCGGTGGTTCTGAGCAGGGGGCAGCGCTGGGGAACCTGCAGCCTCCGTCTCCCTCCCTCACGGGCTGTCCAGCCACGTCTTCCCTGTCCTGAGACTCTGCATCTCTGTCTGCTGGAGCTTATGCCCTTGGCTGCGCCTGGGAGTCCGGCCTTGGGAATCTCTAAAGATCCCGATGCCGGCGGCCGTGCCCCCACCGCCCCCAGATCAGCCTCTCCAGCTCTGTCTGCAGTTAGTGATAACGCGTGATTAATCCAGTGACGCCCAGGATGGGCATCCCTCACGGCCATCCCTCAGCTGACGAAGGAGGCCCATCCCACATTGTGTCTTCAAGTAGCAGATGGTTTAGCCCCTCTCGCTTCTTGCCTCTCATTTCAACAAAAACCAGGGGGGCCAGGACCATTTTCTCTAGAGAAATCTAGTTTATTCTACGTGTTCAGCTTCATTATTTCCCCCTTTCCCTTCAACAAAGACTCTGTCTCCCTCCTGTCTCCTTTGCAGCTGTAGAAAGCAGATCTTCAGGGCCTTATTCCCTGCGGGTTCAGAGGAGACCCAGAAGATGATTAAAAGATTGTTTTGCAAGGTGGGGAGGAGAATGTCCCTTGAAGAAAAGATACAGGCATTGGGATGAATTAGACAGAAAAGGGACATTTTACAAGTCTTCTGGTGGATGGAGGGCTTTTGCACCAAGAGCAGTGACCAGCTGCACTCCCCTCTGTTGAGAACCAGACCCCAGAAGCCAGACTGAGACCGTCTGCGTTTAGGAAGTTCCTGTCCCAGCTGTTGCCAGGCGGGAAGGGCAAGCCGGGCAGGCTCTGGCTGTCTGTGGCTCAGGACCAGAAGAAGGTGCCTGTCCGGGTGGTTTGGAGGCAGGTAGGGTCTGCCTGCTGGTGACGGCGTGGAGGGCCCGCAGGCAGCCAGCGGGTGTCTGTGGTGGCACAGATCTTCATGCTCTGGTCCTCCTCTCCCGTGCAATCTCTTCTCTTTTCTTCCTGTTTAATTTTTTTAAGACAGTAACTTAAAAGGTTGAAGCAAGGAGAAGGTGAAACTCTCTCTGCAGAGACCCCTGGGGACCCCTGATCCGGGCCGTGTTTAGGCAAAGCTCCGTGGGGGGTCCCTGGGTGCCAACCCAGGCGCAGAGCATGCGAGGCCCTGCCAGCGGGTGGGGGATGTCCTGCCCGCCTCTGCCCCAGCTGAAGGCCACGGGAGCCGGACCCCAGTGCACGGCCTCGGGTCTCATCCTTCCTCCAGGCGAGGCCCCAGAAACCACCTAGCGCTTCCCAAACGTTCTGCAAAGTGATGGAACACCTCCTCCATGAGTGAAACTCTACAGGGACCTATCAGTGTCCGAACAGATGAGGGCATAGCCACCCTGCCTGCCGTGGTGGTGCCCAGCGCCATCGGCAGAGCTTCACCTCTTCCCAGCGCCCCCATCCCACCCCGGGAGAGCCGAGCCCAGGGCGCTGGACCCCCAGACAGCTGATGGTCAGGGCTGCTTGCTGCTGCCTTGGCCGCCACACCCAGCAGGGACTGGGCTCTGGGGGGAGATTGAATCCAGCCCTGGCCTCTCCCTGCGGGTGCTACTGGTGCTTCGGGCGTGTGTGCCAGGTGCTTGAGACGCCCCCTGCAGCCTGCTGAGGGGCTGGTTCTCCTTGGGCTGGCGGCGCCTCCGTGAAGCCTCCTCTCGGGGGGCTTCACCCTCTGGGGTGGTTGGGATCCAGTCTGCACCTACTGGAGGTGAAGGGGAGCCCAGGGCGCTCTAGGCAGTCTGGGGCGGCAGTGCGGGCTCAGGGCGTGTTCATAGCGCACAGGGAGTCTTGGCGGGTGAGAGGCATGATGATACACAGAGGCTGGGGCATCCTGTCCCAAGTGATAGGGTGGCGTCTGGCACGGTCTGTTGAAGAGAACAAGCAACTGCAGAGAATCACGTTTTTAGATTTTCCAGACGGTTTGTGCAAACCCGTACTCTGCGCACAGCAGGGTGTGCGCTAGGACGCTTGTCCATCAAGAGGCGCCGCCTGGCGGGCGGGGCGGGGGTCCACCTGGCCTCCCGCACACGCCCGGCTTTGTGGACAAGCCTGGGCCCGTGTGGCTTTACGAACTGGCACATGTATTTGCAAAGCAAGTAGAGTGTGAACAAGGGGCACCCGCGGTAGCCAGACCTGTGTCCCCAGGAGCTGCACAGGACCTGCCGCGCCATGCAGCAGCGCGTCGTGGAGCTCATCTCCCGCGTGTGCAACGAGGAGGTCACCGAGGAGCTGCTGCACGTCAACGATGACCTCAACAACGTCTTCCTCCGATACGAGAGGTGGGAGCCGGCGCGGGGTTGGGGGGGTGGGGCGTGCAGAGTAGAGGCGGAAAATACTCCTCGGATATGCTGACCTGTTCCCATGACGGGGAAGTGCTTCTTGTTCTCCTGGGAGCCAGCAACAGGAACGTGCCGCAGAGTCAGGCACTGCCCTTCATGGGCCTCGGGCTGGCCCCTGTCACCCCAGCCCAGGAGGGAGGATGGGGCTCGGGGACCCTGCGCTCGTGCACCTGCTCCTTTGAAGATCCTCTGAATCTGAAAAGGATTAAGGGGGAGAAATCTCTATCAGGGAAAAAAAGATTTCCTCTTTCCCATTTTTAAAAAAAGAGAAAGAGAGATTTTCCCTTCCTTTGCCACCACCAGCGTGTGTGGAGCGCGGAAGCAGGCAGGTGTGAGTGCTGGGAGAGACACGCATTTCCGTTCTTCCAAATCGTTTTCGGGTTTGAGGTAACAAACGTGCATATTCTTTTGCCTTCCCAGAGCCGTCCCTCAGGGAGAAAGGTGAGTGATCCAGGCAGTGCTCAGCAAGCAGGGAAGTGGCGAGCGGGCTCCCATCCGTGGCTCTGACGGGGCTGCCCCAGAAAGCACCTTGGCCTGGCCAGCCTTCTGCTCCTAAGGATGAGGCCTGGGCCCCGGGCCGCTGACTCGTGGTCTGATGACCTGGCATCACGTAGGGTCCGGGTGACAGATGCTCGCATCTGGGCCTTAGAGGGTGATTTTGCTGTGGTTGCCACAGCTCTGGGCTGTGTCTCAGCTTCGACCATGGTGGCAGCGGTGGGTGGCCCTGTGTCCACCCGACAGATGACGAGCCCTCCACAGGAGGAATGGGGGCCCGTCTGGGGCCCCCTGCGCCACGGGAGCGCAGGAACAGAGCCAGGGGCCTCAACTCCCGGCCCCAGAGCCCCGGGTTCCTGCCCTGTGGTGCCAGGGTCTCCACTGTAAACAGGCTGAGCTTTTCACCTGTTAAACCCGTCTCAGCCCTTTCTGGCACAGGGTGACAGCAATTCAGAGGCAAAGCCCGGAGCCGGCAGCCCTGAGGTGCCCTTCCTGCCAGAGAGCCTTTGCTAAGACTGATGGTCAGCAAGGGCATGGGAGGTGCTCCCGCGTGACAACCTCAGGGGGGGTCATATTTCTGTCCTTGTCGACCACTGAGGATAAACTGCGTCCCACGGGTGGCCTGACCAGGTTGTCCCCCCGGGGATCCCTGCTCACCAGGTGCTGAACCCAGCACATGGGGAGACCCAATGTGGAGCAGGGAATCTCAGCAGATCCCCAGCTGGAGAGGTCTCTTGGCCTCTTAGCCTGTGGCGTCTGGGGCTGCCATGCTGGTCCCCACCTGATAGAGAATGACCTGGGTGCTGGAGAGGAGAGTCTGTCCTCGGCCAGGCTGCGGCCAGCAGGCGGGGGCCCTGGCTCACCGACCCTCCCGCAGCTGCTGGGGCCTGTGCCTGCCCTCCTCCTCCACGCGCCTGGCCCTGGGCCCCACCCCTTCCCCTAGCAAGTTAGCCCTTCGGCTCGTCACTCCACCACAGAGCTGTCCAACGGGGAGGGGCTGCTGTTCTCCTCTGGATCTGGGGCGCCCCCAGGGAAGGTGGCTAGCCCTGGGGGTGCTTATGATGGCCTCCTGCATGTGCTAGCCCGCACCTGCAGTGCCCTTGGGGAGGCTGGGAGGCTGATCCCCACTCGGGGGAGCCCCATGCAGCAGCAGGAAGGGCGAAGTTGTGTGTTGGGGTTGTCCACTCCCTGGCCCCCCAAATGGGCCCGGTGGTTCTCCTTCCCCAGAGCCTGGGTCTCTGCTGGCCTCCCGGCCCACGGGCCCCGGGAGCTTCCCAGGCCAGTGGGCTTTGCGATGCCGTGTCCCAGGCACTCCCTCTCCTTACTCCACTTTCCTTTCCCCGTTAGGTTTGAACGATACAGGTCAGGCCGATCCGTTCAAAATGCCAGTAATGGAGTGAGTATTCCTTCAGAATTCTCGCCTTTCTGGAGGCCGGGAAACCTGGGGTCTCCTGGGGTTAAAATATCCGGGCGATGGGAGAGCAAGCTCTGGTGGGTGGGCTCTGAGGAGGTGCCGGCAGGCACATCCCTGGCGGGAGGGGGCAAAGAAGCCCCCGGGACCTCGCTGTCCCTTAGATGGGGGAGGGGCGGGGGGTAACTCACAACAGCCCACCCGGGACCCTGGGTGGTGCCTGCCAGCTTTCCCCTCGGGGCCCAGCACGTGGGCCGGGGCTCAGCCCACCTCCTGCCCGGCAGGTGCTGAGCGAAGTGACAGAGGACAACCTCATCGACCTGGGCCCGGGGTCTCCAGCCGTGGTGAGCCCGACCGTGGGGGGCACGGTGCCCCCGTCTTCCCTCTCGTCCCAGCTTGCGGGCTTGGGTGAGTGTCCCGGAACTGCCTCCCGCCCCCCCGCCCCCCGCCGGCCTTGTGGGGGACCCGTGGGACAGCGTGTGCCTGGGTCCTGCTGTGCCATTTCAGCTGAAGGCTTGTTCCCTAAACTTAGAGTTTGAACCCGTGTTGGAAAGCAGGGGTGCGGGGTGGTCCAAGGGACTGGAAGCTGTTGGCTTTTTGAAGAAAGGTGGCTGCTGTGTTGTATGTGGCATATTCTCTATGGCTGGAGTGATTTCCTTCTCAACGTCAACCAGGCCAAGGGTGGCAAATAGGTATCAGCTCCTTGGGTGCTTGGCACGTGGGCCCAGGAAGGATGCTGAGGCCACGTCGGGGCTTGGAAGAGTCCGTGGCTGATCGGTGACGTCTGCCCTGGGCTTGTCAACAGGAAGGGGTTTGCTCTCCTTGAACTAATAGCAGTGAGAGTGCGCCATCCTCTGAAACCTAAAACAAAAGATGCCATTTTTTCGCAGTTTGTTCAGTATAATGTGTGTCCATGGCGCTGGATGCCCCACCCGGGCTGGATGAGCCCAGTCTGGGACAGAGGAGGCCACAGTGTTACATGACCACTCAGCACGGCCCTCTCAAAATGCTGTCTTCCACCCTGCGCTTCTGTTTCCTTAACATTTGTCTTTGTACCTTCGTCTCATTTCGGTTGAATCAAGCTTTCACTCAGTGCCCTGCCAGTTGCTGTACTGGCTTCTCGACCTCTCATGTATCGGTAGCCACTGTTCCTCTTTCTCTGCCTTCAGTCTACCCAGCATGTGGCCACCAGGCTTAATACCTAAAATTCAGATTGGATTCCGCTGCCCCTGCTTTAAAAAGCTCTAGTGTTTCCCCATCGACTCCTTTGCCGGCGTGTGACCTCTTCAGCAGCCTCGTCTCTCCGCCGGCACCCTTCGTGCGTCACCCACTCTGCCCGCCGCCCAGCCCCCCTCCCGCTCCTGTGGCAGTTTCCGGTCCCCCGCCCATATCTCCACCTAATTCTGTGCTGCTGTCTGTCCCCCTACTCTGTGTACCCCCTTGAGGCCGGGAACCGCGCCAGAGTCACTGTGGTCCAGTCAGGGTTGAGCTCTGGCCGTGCGCGCGCCTACGAAATACTTGTCACATAAGTGACCTTGGCCTGTGGCCTCTGTGACCGGCTCCCAGGGGCGCCTTGGTGCGGACAGGAGCCTGCACGGCCCGCCTGCTCGCCGCTCGCCCTCATTCGGGAGCGACTTGGGGGGCTCGGGGGCTGTTCTCGTTCCCTTCTGCCCCCCCAGGACTTCAGCCCGCCAGGTGACTTCTTCCTAAGGTCAGGCCCACATTTGCCATCGCCCACCCCTCCTCTGTTCTGTTGCACAGACCTGGGCACGGAGAGTGTCAGCGGCACCCTGAGCTCGCTCCAGCAGTGTCACCCCCGGGACGGCTTTGACCTGTTCACCCAGACCAGAGGGAGCTCCTCGGCTGAGCAGCGCAAGACGTATGTGGGGACCCTCCCGGTGGCTCTCAGAGGACGCTGGGCAGGGCTGACCCCGGCCTGGGCCCACGGCCAACACAAAGGGGCCTTTTATTCACTGGGGCCAGGCCTTTCCACTCCGGTTGCCGGGACCTGGCGGTAGACACAGCTGTTGAGTGGAGGCCAGCACCCCAAGCCGGGCGGCCGTGCGGGTTCCTCCCACCTGCTCCCCTGCTCTCCCTGCCCCCGCGCTGCTGCTGCCTCAGAAACTTCGTCTGTAGGAGGAGCAGGGGGCACGGGGTGGGGCAGGCAGGCACCGAGTTGGTTCCTCGCCCCTGGGGTGCGAGCAGCGTCTTTTCCTGACGGCGGCTCTGGCCAAGATGAGCCCTGTGGAATTAGGGGAGTTGATTCCAAAACACACAGCCCCCTGCATCTCCCTGGAGCCTGCTTTGAGCTTTCTGTTCAGCCTTTGACCACCTCCCCCGGGACCCAGCATCTTGACGCATCCAGCTCTTTGAGTCCCGTACTCAGGACTCAGCAGGTTGACCAGAAGCCCAGGGCCCCAGGCACCTTTTAGCTGCTTTCAAAATGGATACAGCCAAAGAAGTCGGGGAGCAGAAGAAGACAACCCCGCAATGAGTGACAGACCCTCACCCCAGACCGGGAGACCACCTTCCTTGTCAGATGCCACTGAGGCTGCTGCTTTTTTATTAATATTATTATTTTATTTATTTATTTATTTAGGCTGTGTTGGGTCTTCGTTGATGTGGGTGGACTTTCTCTAGTTGCAGCGAGCGGGGGCTACTCTTCGTTGCGGTGCACGGGTTTCTCGTTGCGGTGCTTCTCTTGTTGTGAAGCACGGGCTCTAGGCGCGCAGGCTCAGTAGCTGTGGCTCGCAGGCTCTAGAGCGCAGGCTCAGTAGTTGTGGCGCACGGGCTTAGTTGCTTCACGGCATGTGGGATCTTCCCGGACCAGGACTCGAACCCGTGTTCTCTGCATTGGCAGGAGGATTCTTAACCACTGCGCCAGCAGGGAAGCCAAGGCCGCTGCTTTTAAAATAAGAATTGTGACCCTTTTGCTTCTATCCAGTCTCTCGCTCTAAGCAGTTCCGGGCCCTCTGGCACCCTGTCCTTGAGCTTTACAAATGCCTCTAGTGTTACTTAACAGAGGGAAATGGAGGTGGTACAGAGTCCCAGACCCCAGAGCGAGCGAGTGGCTGGGCTGTGCTTGAACCCAGGCCTCCTGGCTTCAGCTGCGGCCAGACCACGACCTAAATGCCGAGGCCTCTGAGTACTCGTGAGGAAGGTGCCGAAGATGGAGGGTGGTTGCAGGTCACCACCTGTCCGTCCCCCGTGACCACTCTGCTTGTGCTGCTTCGTCCCCAGGGCCACCTACGAGGACCCCCAGGCCGTCGGAGTAATTGTTTCTGCGGTAGACGGTCGGAAACAGAACCCCGAAGTGGTAGGTCTCTCGCCCTGTTTTTCTGCCTGGGGGGAAAGCAGGGCCGTCTGGTAAAGCCAGCTGGAGAGTTAGGCAGAGCTGGCGGCGCGGAGGGCAGACTGGGGTGAGCCATGTCAGCTCCTGAGTGCCCCCCACCCGTGGGGACGCCCATATCAGCACACCCAGGAGGAGACAGGCCCAGAGAGGCAGAGATGTGCGGAGGGCACTCCGCGAGCCATCTTGGGCGGGGCTGCACTCCGGGGAGGTCTGATGGGGAGCCTCTGCTGTCCCCCATGGTGGCTCTAAGCTCTCAGGGCGCAGGGCTCCTGTGGCCAGAGAGGGTCTCTCCCCAAAGGTTGCAGTGCCCTGGGGTGGGCGGCTCTCTGACAGAAGGGAAATGGAGGCCTGGGCCTGTCCCTGCAGGCCTGCCGTCAGAAGGTGGCTGGTGGGGCTGGCTTGGGGAGGGGGCTGGAGTTGGGGAGCAGCGCTGAGGGCAGAGGTGCTCGGAGGTGAAGGAGGGGCTTCTGTGATTTCTGGGAGATTGCAGTGCCCAGAAGGAAAAGGTTTGTGCCTCCATGCTTCTTGTGAGGTGGTTCCCTTCTCGCCTGAGAAATGTGTGTGGCCACGAACGAATGAATGTGTGTGTGTGTGGGGGGGTGGCGTTGGGGGGACAGTGGCCCCAGAACAGCCGCCCCCCCGGCCTGCCCCATCCTGGGCTACAAAGGGGCAGCGCTCATCTGTCCACTGGAGGGGAGCCTGGCTTCCCAAACACCAGCCCTTGGCCTCCCACAGCCCCTGTCCAAGTGGCCCGGGCAGGCGGCAGTGCTGAGGCCTGGCGTCCCCAAGAAAGCTCATCCCCTGGTCCCCATGTCCCTCCCCGGCTCAGCCAGCTTGTTGAGGGCCGTGCGTCCCTCTGCACCAGCCACCAGGGGGCGCAGAAGAGCCACCCAGGCTGCGGCTCTCACTGCCCCGCCCCCCGCAGAACCCCTGAGGCCGGGACTGTGCAGTGGCCCAGTGGTCGTGTTGCTGAGGACGGCCCCCACCCCAACTCAGGGCGCCGGGGAGCCAATAAGGCCAGCCCATCCTCCTGGCCCAGCTGGCCAGGCCGGCCCGGTCAGCTCTCCACTCTGCCTCCAGGGCCTGCCCCGCCAAGGCCAGGAGTGCCCTTCTGCCACTGCCTCTGCCAGTGCCCAGGGTCCAAGCACAGGAATGCAGCCAGCTCCCTGCCTTTCACTCGGGGTGCCTGGCCTGCCTCCTGTTTTCAACATTTCTACCTGCAGCAGGCAGGCTGCTCCTCGTGTGCCCTGCTCGATGGGGTGATGCAGGGAGCAGGGTTCATGTGGGCCGTGTGTGTGTGTGTGTGTGCGCGCCTGTCTGTGGGTGTGTCTTTGTATCTGTGTGCAGACACACTTATATGCATCTTCAGGCCTGTACTTCGGGTTATGGTGTTCCATATCCTAAACAGTGCTGCCCTGGAAATGAAACCTGGGCCAAGGGAGAAATTAAGAACACGGTAAAGGAGAAAAAACTGTGTAGCCACACCTTCACGGTACAGCCACGTCAGTAGTTCTAACTTTAAATACTTTCATCATTTAGAAAAGGCAATCTCCCCAAATTCATCATTCACATTAAGAGCTTGGAAAAAGAACGCCACAGGTAACTGAGGAGGAAAAAGATAATAAGAAGTAGAGATGATTGTGCAAAAGCTGGTTCTGTGAAGCCACCCCTCAGTGACCCTGAGAGCCTAGGCGGAGGGCAGCCCCGGCCGGCCTTCTGCGGCCCCAGGGGCATGGGAACAGGGGTTCAAGTGCGTGTTACCCTCTTGGGGTCCCTGTTACTAAACGCCTCTTCTTTTATCCAGGAGGTAAGGGCATGTTTGGGGGGGTGGGCTGCTGGGTCCCAGCTCCTCAGGTGATGGGGCACCAGCTCTGACAGTGGCTTTTCTGTTTCCATGACATGTGCTATTGGCTTCTTTACCACGGGTCTTGCTGTGACTTTCCTTTCTGGGACTTTTCTGTCCTCGGCCCAGAAGAGAGGTAAAGGTGGGGACTCTGACCTGGAGCCCATAGACAGCTGGCTCATAGCCCAAGGAATGGTGAGAGGTCACCAGCCGCGCTGAGCCCCTTGTCCCCCCACCACCACCACCCTCGGCGCTTCCCTCTGTCTTCTCGCGGGTGCCCAGTCTTCCCCTCCTGTCTGTCTCCTTAAGCTGCAGACTTCCAGCCCCAGAAACTCCATCTCTGGTTTTCTGTGGAGGTCCGGGCGTTTGCAGGAGTGAGGGGAGGGCCCTTTCCCTCCTTCTACCGTTTCTGGAGCTCTGGGCAGTATTCACTTTTCCAGGATGAGCACAAGTTACTGTGGCCTCTGCTTGGGAGGGGATGTTTCTGAGAGGACAGGCTCAAAGCATCTGACTGGGCAGAGAACGCCGCCCAGCCTGTGAATGGGGCAGTCTAGGCCGATGGGGTTTCGTCCTGTAATTGTTTGTGCCCACTGTGTCCCCCGGAAGGATCTGAGACCTCCTAAAGAAACACAAACGCTACTGGAACGGAATAAGAAGATGTGGGGATCATACACGCAGTCAGCCTCAGAAGTAGGGTGTCCATGGCTCCAAGACCCGGCAGGATCCCTCCTGCCTCGTGATCAGGTGGCCCCGAGTCTGTGCACAGAGAGGTCACTTGCTGCAGGCTGCCTGCGGTGCAGGGACGATTTCACCTCTGAGACCGGGGTCTGTGCATGGTGGAGCCTGAGCGGGAGACCTAGACACACCAGGAGAAAGCCGAACTGACCCCTTGGGGCCGGGCCAGCCTGGGGCCAGGGGAGGGCTCTTCAGGCTGGGCCAGCATGCCCGAGCCTGCGGGCAGTACAGGGTCACCTGCCTAAGCAAGTGTGACTAGCTCTCGAGGACACGGGCCAAAGGGCTGTCAGAGCCGGGGGCCAGGGTGTCTGCCCGCCCAGCTGGGAGCTGGCGACCCAGCACAGCCGCACTCGGGGGGCCGTCTCCCTCCACCTGCCGGCAGCCCGTCCTGCTTGCTGCACCGGACCCCAAGGCCGTTCTTAGGGACATGGGCTAGCCTGGCCCCTTGTTTGCTTCTGTGGGGACAAGCAGGGGCTCTGGCCCACACGTGCGGGTGGCCTTAGAGCAGCACTCCTGGAGACCATGTCCACTCCACTGTCCAAATTGGGAGGATCCAGCCGTGTGTCCTTGTGCCTATTAGTCCTGCAAAAAATGATACTGCCCACACAGCCGCCCCGCGTGTGGCTTGGTAGCCGGTGGTGGCACCCACCCCTGCCCGGCCCCACCTAGAGCTCCAGTCTCCGACTTCAGAAACAAGCCCGACTAACAGCTAACCCTGTGTCTCACCTGCCCTACTGCAGTGTTTTGTTTTGTTTTCTTTTAAACAGCGTATATTAATTGCTTTGCCTCATTTCCCATAGCATAGAAACCCTGAGTCTTTCCAAACCTGCCAAGTACAAATTCTTTACTTGGAAACTTTTTGTACTATTGAGCGAAACCAAAGGGCCTGTAGACTGAGCCTCAGGTTGGGGAGGTGGCAGGAGGACTGTCGGGGGGCAACAGCCCCTGGAAGCATCGCACCCGAGCGCAGCACTTGGTCCGGCCGCGTTGGAAATGGTGCAGGTTTCCTTGCGGGGAGGCATGTCGGGCATCCAGGTCCAGCACCAGGCCTGTTACCGTGGAGGAGAGCCCCAAGAACCTTCTCGAGCAGCCTGCCCGGGGACGGCGGTGCTCTTGCCTCTCCCGGCGGCGGTCGGAGGCCTGTCACCCACACGCAGGGTGCAGCCAGGATAGGTGAAAGAGTATGACTCGCAGCAGGAACCCAAGGAGGTTAGAGAAAAGTCTGCCGCTGTCCAAGCCCAGGCTTGGGGCGGGGCCCCCTACGCAGACCAGGCGGCGCCCTTCCCCTTTGAGCCGGTGACCCTCCCGCCCACACGCAGGGCTGCCCGTCTGAGCCCAGGCTGGCCCACCCCTGCCACGTCCACGGCTGCCCTCCGCATCCAGCGCCTCAGCCAGCCAGCCCCGTCCGGCCGTCCTCGGAGCTAGGGAGTTTGGGCAGCTGGTCTGTATCCAAGGGTGTACCCACACGCGCTCCCTTTATTTTTTTCTCGTTGCATCTGTTTCCCTTTCTGTCTCCTTCCTCCAACTCACACTCTGGCAGCCCCCTTGCCCGGGAGGTGCTCACCCCAGGGCGTGTGAGAGCCCAGGTCGCTCAGGGTGAGAATGCTGAGGCCTCTCTGGCCTGGGGATGTGCCCGCAGCTGGAGCGGTGACAGAGCAGCTCCTGTTTGCAGGGCAGCGCAAGTGTCTACTGTGTCTGAAGCACCTGGTTTTGGGGCAGCTTTGCCGTGCTCCTGGCGCCGTGCTCCCCCATCGATTCCCAGGCAGGCGGCTCGCGAGCCCAGGCTGCGTCCAGCCTGGCAGGGCGGCCCATCCCCCCGTCACGTGAGCTATCCTGTCACCCACACCCGACTCCACGTGATGCACGCCCTCGGCCAGCGCCTCTCAGTCAGGGCTCAGGCCCCACGGCTCCGGCATCCCTGGGTTTCTGAGTTAGAAACGGAAGCACCCGACCAGAACTGAAGGGCTCTGGGGTCGTGAGTGGCGGAAGACATCGCCCCGTTTCACAGACGAGGCTGAGGCCCCAAACCTGGGGCTTCTTGGGGCCCCGGAGGTGGGGAGCTCCTGGAAGGGAGCAAGTCCACCCCTGACTTGTGGGTGGCGGGCTTGTTTTGAGGGGTGAGGAGCTTCTCACTTGTCAGTGTTTATTTTCTGAGCATGCTGGCTCTCAAGATCTGTCCAGAGGAGAAAACTGAGGCTCTATCCCTGGCCCCGAGGGACCAATTCTGAACAGTAACAAAAAAGTTACGAGCAAAATCTGAAAGCCTAAGGCGCATGACAACTTAGTGTCTTTTTTCAAGCTTTGCGACCCGAGGAATCCCCACTCCTCCTGGGCGGGCCGAGGCTGGTGGGTGTCAGGGGCGCCCCCCCTGCTCCGGCAGCTGGGGTTGGCGGGTTTCTCCCTGGAGACACACTGACTTCCCACGCTTGGTCCTGGGGATTTGGCGGTGTGGCACGAGTCCTCCCCGAGGCTGGGCGTTCTGGCTTAGAAGCATCATGATAACGAAAATTGGCATCTCCTGTCATGGGAACGTGTTGGGCAGAAGCCCCGTCAGCAGGCGTAAGACTGGCCGGTCGCACCCTGGACGCCGCTGGTCCCTGCTCCGTGGGGAGGGAAGTCGGCTCCAGGTGCTGCCAGCAGCCCCTTTGCGTCCTGCCCAGAGGGAGGACCATGTGTTCCTTGTCACCATGAGTCATTTCAGGGTGGTTTGAACTCCTTGGTATTTTTTCATTTCAACATTCTTGAGTCCCCAGTAGGTCAAAGAAATTAAATGGCAACATAGGCAGAATCTCCCTCATCTGATCGAGGTTGGCCTGAGCCTCTCTGAGACACATGTGGAAGCCAGAGGAGGGTCTGCTGGCCCGGGCTGTGTGACATTGGGGTGAACCCAGCTACAGACAGTGCAGGCAGTCTCTCTAGAAATAGCGAGCTTGTGAGTCCCAGGAGGTACCTCCCAGACCCAGCCAAGGTGAGGATGCAGGTCACCTCGGTCAAGGGCCATCCTCTCGTTTATCTAGTCTGGGAGCCAACATTTCATTAACGTGGCTTCGAAGGGGTTAAAGGTTCCTTTTCCTTCTTATCATATGATCATTTTATTATGTCTGACAGCAGCCTAAGTATTTCTAGCCAGATAGATTTTCAGGCCCTTGGCATGGGTGGCCCAGGCGTGGACAGGGCCCAGGCACCAGAGGGGTGCCCTCCTTTGCTCAGGACCCTGGTCCCCCCTCCCAACCGCTCCCCTGCTCCCCCCGCCCCCCGACTCCCCTGCTTTCAGTTGCACTTCTTTTCTTTTTTGCTGGGGCCACAGACAGCCATTGGAAGCTGGGAGGAAAGGGTGGGATGAGAGGAGGCTGCAGCATTCAGGCCGCTTCCTGATTTTTCCACCAAAGGGACACAAAGACAACCAAAGCCTGCGGTCCCTTTTGTCATCAAAGCCCTTGCTTTGGCCTGTGTCTGCTGGTGGAGGAATGTGCCGGGCTGCTGTGGGCCAGGCCACACCCAGGCCTGGGTGCCCTTCCCACTCAGAAATGCCCCAGGACACCATCCTTTCAGTGAGCGAGCCTGGACCACCTGCCCCCTGCCCCGCCCTGGGCGGACGGCCACGCGGCCGCCCCGTCCTGTCGGGGCCGGGACTGTCGCAGATGGAGGGGCTCCACACCAGCCTGCAGGCCGGCGCCCCAGGGCTGAGAGGCAGACACGCTAGTCAAAAAGTTATCCACTGAAGAACGCGTACTGCGCCTCCCTCCCCACCACGTCGCGTCGCGTCCCGTCCCCTCGCTAGCCCTGCTTCCTAGAGCTGCTGCTTCCCTCACCTGCCGTTTCCCACGTGGCTGCCTGCGTGCCCGCCCGCCTGCTGCGCCAGCGTGTTCTGCTCTGTGTACGTCTGGCTCCGTCGGGCTGCTTGGGTTGACGTGTCCGCTGTTCTGTCTCCCCTGCCTGGCCGCGGGCTGCCTGGCCGCTGCCTGCCGCTTCCATAGATCCCCGTGGTGCAGCCGTCTGTCATGGACGACATTGAGGTGTGGCTCAGGACCGACCTGGTGAGACTCGACTTTTCTATCTCGTGTGGGGAGTGGCGAGGCCCAGGTGCCTCTGAGGACAGGAGGCCTGGGGGCCGGCGCGGGGCCGCTCCCTGGGGAGGTGGAGGAGGGGAGGCCGGGCAGGCGCCCCCGGGGTCCGCACCTGCTCGGCCTGGCCACACCGCCCCCAAGACGCACACTGACTTTTCCCAGTTACTGCGGTTTCAGGTGTGTGTGTGCTTGGGTTCTTTTGGTTTGGGGTTTTTGTACGCCTTTTAATTTATATTTTTATTTATTTATTTTTTGGTTTTCATTTTTTCCTTTTAATTGTGAAATTTACACAGACATGAGTTGGTGTTTGTTTTTTATTCACTCTCATTCCCCTTCCCCAGCGTCTCCTGCTATCTTGGATTTAATGGTTCCAGGGACCACGTCTTTATCCCCAGAGATGGGCAGGAAGGTTAGGACATCGTGCAGCTGGCCAGGGCAGCCGGTCTCAGAGGGGAGGGCTGTGCTGGCTGGTCCCCCGCTGCCCCCTGCCAAGCACTCTCACCACCACCCCCAGCCCCCCACCCCCGGGGCTGGTGAAGAAATGCACCCTGGGAGGGGAGGTGTTTGTCCATGGTCACGGCTGGTGGGACTCTCCCCATGACCTGAGGACAACTCGTCTCTTGCTTCTCGCTGCCTCCCCTCAGGACACCCCCCCAACTAGGACGGCAGACCTCAGCCCCCAGGACGGGCCTCCTTCCGCTCCAGGCCAGCCCCTAACGCCCCCCCACCAAAGCCGGGCTTCCCGGAGACTCGGGTGCCATGCCAGGGGAGGAGGGGCCCCCCATTACGCCTTTCCCAGGGAATGCCCGGAAAGAAACAGCTCCCATCGCAGAGCAGGCAGGCCGGGGCCCCCACCTCACGGGGGGCACCGCGCTCGAGGGCCAGGGAGCTCCCAGCCAGCCGCGCAGCAGGTCAGGGGCAGAGCCAGGAAGGAAGCCCGGGCCGTGTCTGCTTCCCCATCACTGTCTGTGCAGAGTTCCCAGTGGCCCCCACGTTCCGCACAGAATTGACCCCCCAGAGCCTCCCCAGTGACAGCATCGGGGCGCAGGAGGACGCTGCCAGAGCGCCGCAGGGTCCGGCCCCGTGCTTCCAGGCCCCACGCGGTTCCCAGCTGCTGGTGTGGCCGTGACCTCCCAGCGCCCTGTGGCTGCCCGCGAGGGGACGCCCAGTGGAGGAGCGCCCGGGGCCCTGGCTGTCTGAGGCGCAGCCTCCTCCTGGCCGCCCTGCAGGCCTGCCCCGCGGCTCAGCCGGAGAACGAACCTGTACCTTTTAGAATTTTTGCTTTCTGACCCTTCTGGGGGATCAAAACCTAGAACCTGCTATTTTTGTTTTTACTTTTTAAAAACAAAGTTTCTGTGTCTCTGATAAGACGAGAGCAGTGCTTTGCTCTTACAGAACTTGGGGGGACGGGAAGTAGGAAGTTTTGCTCGGGTGCCGCCCTGGGGTGGCCGAGGGCGGGAGCGGCAGCAGGGCGGGCGGGTCCTAATGCCCCCTCTCTGCTCTCCCACAGAAGGGCGACGACCTGGAGGAGGGCGTCACGAGCGAAGGTAGGCCTGCCCCCACACCCCGCTGCTGCTGTGCCCGCCCCAGGCTCTGGGAGCCCCCCCGCCCCCCGCCGTGCCGCCTGGGCGGGCCTCCCCCGCGGGCTCCCGCGCTGTGTCCCGCCCAGGCCTTGTGTGATGCGGGAGGCGCTGCAGCTGGTGACCAGTTTGCCCCCGCCAGATGCCCAGTGCAGCTGAAGCAAGACACATGCCATGCAGTCAGCAGGGCACGCAGGGAACCCCTGGGCCTGGCACCCTGTGGCCGCACAGCTGGGCCCTCTACAGGCACAGAGCCCTGCTTGGTGGGTGTGGGGGGGGTTCCCTGCCAAGTTCAAGGAGGAACTCACTCCTCCAGCTCCCCCTGCCCTGCCTTCTATGCTGATCTGCATGATGGAAAAGCTCCAAGTCAGTGGTGGGGCAGGAATCCTAACTGGCACCCCCCAGCCCCCCACCCCCCCACCCCGCCGGCTTGTGGCAGGCTTCCCGCTTGCCCTGGTGATGGCGGAGGAGGAAAGGGGGCGGTGCTCTGTGGGGAGCGGGTGGGCGTGGCTGTTGGAGCCTCAGTGCAGCTGAGCCCTTACCAATCCCGGCCGGCCTTGTTTTGTGTTGTAGAGTTCGATAAATTCCTTGAAGAAAGGGCCAAAGCTGCCGAAATGGTTCCCAACCTCCCCTCTCCCCCAGCGGAGGCTCTGGCCCCGGCCTCAAATCCCTCCAGCAGGAAGAAGCCGGAGCAGTCAGAGGACGCCCTCTTTGCCCTGTGAGCTGTCCTGTGGTTGGGCCCCCCCACGGCAGGTCACCTCTAGCTCCCCCCATCCACACCAGGCACTGGCCACTCTTCCCATCCCCAGCCCCCACCTGGTCCTGCGCTGCTGTGTCTCCATGGAAACGCCACTGTGTTTGCTCCCAGGCCTCCTGCTAGTCAGGACCAGCTTTAGCCACCCTCTCTGTGGGCGGCGGGACAGCGTTGCTGTAGCCACAGCCCCTCAACTTCTGCTCTTCCTGCCCACCAGCTCCCTCTGCCTGTTTCTTCCCAGGAAGAGCCCACAGCTGGTCCAGCACCAGGCAGGACAGTCCCTTTGGGTCTGTTCCTGAGCAGTTCCTCTGGTCACCTGCACACAGAGAAGGGGCTCAGGCCCCAGCCCCTTGCCCGGCGTGCCCCTGCCCAGCACAGCGGGCCTCTCCTGCCCTCCCGTGACCCCCTGTGCCCCAGAAAGGGCAGGTCTGCACCTGCGGGCTTGGTCGCCCTCCCCGGACTGCTGCTGCCTGACGAGTGTCGGCACTTTAGAAGGCTCTGTGGATGCCCACGGGTGGCGTCTCTCACCTGCCATCTGCTTGACCCTTTCTTCATACTCAGCTGCTAGCCCAGACCCACGTCCAACCTGGCTCAGTAGCCGAGCCTGGGACCAAGGGGTCCCCCGCGGGCCTGCATGCTCCTGGTGTGGGCAGAGCCATGGGCTGTCAGGAGGGCAGCTCGCAACCCTGGCCGGTCAGCTCTTGCAGAGATAACACTACTGTCTCCAAGCTGCCCCTGTGCACCACAGGCCCTGTGGCCGCCCCACCTGTGGAGGGGCCTGCACAGTGAGGGCTGGCTCTGGCCAGCTTGGGAGAGCTTTGCACGTTGGTGAATGTGCTTCGGCCTGGTCTGGGGCAGCCTCCACGCCTCTGCCTCCAGGGCCCAGCAGCAGGCGGTGTTGCACCCCAGGGGAGATCCCAGTGACCGAAGGCCCCTGCACTTTACTGGGCGGGGCCTCAGCCTCCCCTGCAGACTGTCCTGAAGCCTGATCTCCTCCCACCCCAGACCCGGCGCCCAAGCAACCTAGGAGGGGCTGCTGACACCCGCTCCTGTCTTGGGTCCTTGCTGGTATCTCGGGCCGTGGGCAGGGCACTAGCCGCTCGGCCCAAGCCCGGTCCAGCCTGAGCCGCCCTGTGCTGTGGCCCAGAAGAGCGAACGCACTGCTGCCGCGGCTTCCGCCAGCCTGTGAGCCCTGGTCCAGATCAGCGTTCCAGCACGTGCTGCCTGGGCGTCGGGGCAAGGCCTGGCCGGGCCACCTGGTGGGCCTGGCCCGCGGTGTGGTCAGCCCTTCCCACCTGGCAGCCCAAGCAGGGAGAAGAGGCCGGGCCTGACACAGGCCGGGATCAGTGCCGCCGTGGGCTCCAGCGGGAGCGTTTAGGACAGGGCTGGAGGGCTGTGCGGGGCACCGGCAGGAGCAGGTGTGGGGGAAAGCGGGGTGCTGCCCGTCTGGGACCCACACCCAGCCTGGCACCCTGCAGCTTCCTCTGGAGAGGAGGCCTGGGGTCCGGCTGGGGCTGTCACACTCCAGTTCCTCAGAGGGCGCTCAGGAAGTCCCCACCACGGAGCTGGGCCAGCCTGCCTGCACCCCGCCCAGCCCCGACCCTCAGACAGCTGCACCCCTCTCCTCGGCGTTTCCAAGGGCGAGGCCCCGAGGCCGGCGTGGATGCTGAGCGTGTGAAGTTGGCCGACTTGAGCTGCACAGAAGGTGGCTGGGTGGCCCGGTTGTCCCTGGCAACCCTAGCTGGTATCCCCGGGCCTTGGGCGCAGCCTGGGGAGCGTGTCTGTGTGGGGGCGGGGGACAGTGGGCCTCAGGTGGTCAGTCCAACGGGAGTTGCAGCAGCCAGGCCCAGCGTCCGCTGAGGGAGGAGCCGGCCTCCCACCCGGCGAAGCAGGGAGCCCAGGGGTCTCCCGATGGAGAGTGAAGTGGAGGCGTACCTGCCCAGGGAGGCCCCCGCAAAGCCGCCCCCCAGCTCCAGCTGCTTAGCCAGGCACAGCTGAGAGAGGTGGGGCCGCCAGGGCGGCGGGTGGTGGTGGCCTCGCTGGCCGTCCCAGCTGGAGCTGACCCTCTGCTCGCCCATCAGGTCACAGCAGCCTGACCCAGCCATAGGCCGGCCTGGGAAGCAGGTGCCCAGGGCGGTGCTGCTCTACCCTTCCTGTCCTGAGTCCTAGGAGCCCTGGGCCCCTCCCACTGGCTCCCTTCCGCCTGGGGGGCACGGCGCTCAGGAAGGGAAGCTGGCCGGAGCCTTCCGCCCTGGGGAGTGGGACCCCCCGAGCCAGCAGCCTCTCCACCAGTGTTAGACATCACAGATACAGTATGTACTTAATTACACTACATTATTGCTGGGATTCCTTATAAGCACTAATTATACCTGATTATAGGTTAAAATATTTATTTTGTCAAGATATTTTCTTGGGGATGTGTTTAACCTTTCCTGTGCTGTGTGCTGAGATGTGAAAACTAACCCTCTCCTCCTGCCTTCCTGGCCAGTGGGCAGCAGCTAATGGCACTAAGTGCAGTGTGACCCGGGCACCGGCGGGCCTTTGGCCAGCCTGCCCCAGAGCGGCCCCTGCCCGGGACCGCCAGGCACCGTGCAGGCCGACCGGCCCAGGTGACACGTGAGCAACTGGCTTATGAGCACGCGCGGGACAAGGGCCGCGGAGCTGCAGCGGCTCGTCGCTGGCCGGGCCAGAGGGCAAGGTGGCCGTCTGTCCTCCTGTCTCTCTGTCAGCCCCCTCAGTGTGAGCGACCATGCTGTCTGCCCTGGGCCACGCTGCCTTGGCTCGCTGCCCTCTCCCTCCTTACCCAGGGTCTAGAGCAAGGGGCCTGGGGAGGTGTGAGGCCTGGGCCTTCCCTCAAAGCCCCAGTGGGGAGAGGGGACCGGTGGCAGCAGACACCCAGACTCGGCTCTTCCCGTCCCTTCCTGCTGCCACAGCCCCGCTTGCCTCCGCACGCTTCTAACTCAGTCCAGCCCAGCCTTCCGGAGGGTCCGAGGGGGCTGTGGGCTGGCGAAGGGGAAGCACCGTGGAGGGCGGCGGTGCTCTGCACTGGCTGCCGCCAGGGCCGGGCCCCTCCCCCGTCCCCGACGTGGGCAGAGCCGGCTTCGCCACCCGGGCTGAGCGTGTGCACCCAGAAGACGTCCGGTGGCCCCCGCCTCTCCCAGTGCCCTGCTCCAGCCCGTGCTGTCCCTGGGGCACCCTGGGAACAGCTGTCAACCCCGGAGTCTCACTGCGTCTCTCCAGGCACTCCTGGAGGAAGGGGGTGGGGTGGGGTGGATATTTATTTCCTCGAGTTTGCACTTGACTTGTGAGGGTTCTCAGGTTTGTTGTCCGGCGTCCCCCAGCCTGGCGGTCCGTCACCGTCTCTGCCGGCAGACTCCTGTCTCTAGAGGGGAGTCAGCGACACCAGAGCGTCTGTCCACCCACTGGCTCTCCTTCCAGACATGTCTGTCTAGTTTGGGATCTTGCATGTAAAATACTCCACAATAAACAAACAGACTGTTGCTGTGTGATCTCTGTCAAGTCGGCGGTGACTGTCCAGAGGGCCAGCCAGATCTGACCGCCTGCTTTCTCTAGGGAGCGGCGGAGTGGGCCCTGCTGGAGGGAGCAGGCAGGGAAGCTCGCCACCACACGCGGCCCCAGGCCTCGAGCAGCCCCTACCCTGGAAGGCCCCTCCCACCCCTTGCCTGTCCCTGCTTGGCCACCCTGGGGCACAGCCTGCTTTGGGGGCTTCGGTTGGAGCGGCTGTAAACCTGCCACAGCCTGCCTGACAGCTCAGACCAGGGGCCGGGGTTCTTCTTCCATCTCTTACTGGGTCCCAGGAGCATCCAGGCCTGAGCCACCTCAGCGCCCTCCGCTGGGTTCCCCGAGCGTGGCTGGCTGCTGGATTGGAGAGCCACTGCTCCCCTTTTCTGGAACAGCTTTACTGAGATGTAGTTCACGCAACATGAATTCACCCATTTAAAGTGTATGATTAGGGACTTCCCTGGTGGCACAGTGATAAGAATCTGCCTGCCAATGCAGGGGACACGGGTTGGAGCCCTGGTCCGGGAAGATCCCACATGTCGCAGAGCAACAAAGCCCGTGCGCCACAACTACTGAGCCTGCGCTCTAGAGCCCGTGAGCTGCAACTACTGAGCCTGCGTGCCACAACTACCGAAGCCCTCGTGCCACAACTGCTGAGCCCACAAGCCACAACTACTGAGCCCACGTGCCACAACTACTGAAGCCCTTGCACCTAGCGCCTGTGCTCTGCAACAAGAGAAGCCATCGCCATGAGAAGCTCGCGCACCTCAACAAAGAGTAGCCCCCGCTCGCCACAACCAGAGAAAAGCCCGCGTGCAGCAATGAAGACCCAACGCAGCCAGTAAATAAATAAATTAATTAATTAATAAAATAAAATAAAATAGAGAAGCCACCGCCATGAGAAGCCCACGCACCGCAGCAAAGAGTAGCCCCCTGCTCGCCACAACCAGAGAAAAGCCTGCGTGCACCAACGAAGACCCAACGCAGCCAATAAATAAATAAATAAAATAAAATAAGTAAGAGAAACCACTGCCATGAGAAGCCCGTGCACCGCAGCAAAGAGTAGCCCCCCGCTCGCCACAACCAGAGAAAAGCCCGCATGCAGCAGCGAAGGCCCAACGCAGCCAAAAATAAATAAATTTATAAAAATAATAAAGTGTATGATCAGGTAGTTTTTAGCAACATTCAGAGTTGTGCGACCCTCACCACAATCAATTTTAGAGCATCTTCATCACCCCCAAAGGAACCCCCTACTCTTTAGCCGTTACCCCCCTCAGCCCCCTATCCCTTTTAAAAAGGGTTCGCGTCTCCTCTCCTGTGCTGGGAGCTGGGCGCTGCTGCAGGCGGCGGTCCTCTGGGAAGCAGGCCTCTCCCTGAGGCTCAGGGGCCGTGGGGGGGGCCTACGCCTTCTCCAGGTGGCTTAGGGGAGGTGGGGAGCCCTTTAATCTCTTCACCTCCCAGGGTTCAAGGATGCACCTCCGGTGGGATGGACTCATCAAGCCCCCAGGTGAGCCTGGAATAAACGCAGAGACATCTGCCCACGTCACATGTGCAGGTGAGAAGACCGAGGCCCGGACGTTTGCCTGGGATCAGCAGCAGAACCCGCTCAAGCTCAGCCCTTGGGCCTCCCAGACCAGGGCCGTGGAGGAGCGGGCAGGGAGAGCACTGTCTCCGTCGCCATGGCCAGCAAGGGAACCGCCCCCCGCCCCCCACACCAGGCCTTCTGGGAGGGCAGCTCAGGAGGGGGCTGCCATGCCTGCTGATAGGAGACTGGGGCCATGTTCAGACCTCCGCCAGCTCAGGTGGGCCTCAGTTGGAGTGAGATAGAGGCTCTGTGCCGGGGGGAGTCTGGGAGCGGCCTCCGAAGCGTGGGCCCCCATCCCTGTGAATGGAAGGCATGTCCCCTGTGCAAGGCGCTGTGTCCCTGACCCGTGCAGAGTGAGTTGGCCCCCTGCGGGGTGCCTGGTCCTGCCCTCGGGGAGCTCGCAGCCTGTCCAGTTCCCAGAATCAAGGACACTTTGCAGCCAGGAAGCCCTGGAGCCCTCTTCCAGGGCCTGCAGGGCAGGGAGGCCCTGGGGGAGCAGCCAGAGATTGGGGAGACGGGGGCAGTGTGGGAGCACCATGGGTCTGCTCATGGCTCATGGCCCCCTGCCTGCCAGTCCCCCACTGAAACACCTGAGGAGGAGTCTTTCTACAACCACCCCTCTTGCAAGGAAAGGTTCTCTTTGGGGTCCTGAGGGGCCAGGGTGGGCAGACAAGAGGACTTGAACAGGCACGACTCACCCAGAAATACGGTTTGCTGCAGAGGAGCCCCTGCCATCTCTTGCTGGGTGGACTTCAGGGGGTCTGTGCAGGGGGTCCAGGCCCTCAGCACCAGGGAGTCCATGGGACGTGCCATTCCCTCCCCATCCCCGCCTGGGGCTGCAGGCCTGGGGCAGGTCCCTGAGCTCCTGATGATGTGAGAAATGGGGTCGTGGGTAGTTAACCCAATGCCTCCAGGGCCCTGCCTGGGTGGATCCCGGGGATGGAGGGGACTGGGGAAGCTCACAGGCCATTGTAGCCTGCTGTTGTCAGATTGTTCCATTTTTCAAGAAAAGCCAGGAATCCAGCCTTCAGGTGAAATGTACATTTGACAGTGGACTCAAAATCAGAACCCGTGTATACTTGGATGTGGCCCATGGGTGTCAGCTGGTGCCTCACTCTCCATGTCTGTAAGGCCCACCCCTCACTGTGCTGCAGACCTCGGGGTTCAAGCAGCTCTTCTGTGGAGGGTTTACTGCCAGAGAGGCTCAGAGAGAGCTAGAAATGACTTGCACAGTGCACAGTAGAGGGCAAGCTGGCATGAGAACACAAGGTCATCTAGGACCAGAATCATCCATGTCAAGGGCCATGTGGTTCCATTATGTCTGATGCGGGAGTGGGGGGAACCCAAGGCTCCCTGCTGGTTCTGTGCAGCCTCGGCCACAGCTGGGCAGGTCCCAGCTCGGCTGCTGCAGAATGAAGGACAAACGGGCAGGTGGGTGGCACGGGGTCTCCAGGAGTGGGGAGGGGTCTCGGTAGCCTGTGAAGCTACGCCCAGTGCCGGCAGCCCTGGCAACTCCTGTGCCTGCCCCGCCACCCATCCCTGAGCTCGGGCAGCGAGGACATGGCTTGGCCCTGCCCGCGCTGGACACCTGCCCAAACGGCTCTGAACCCACAGAAGATGCCCCTGCGCCTCTCGGACGCCCGGGGCAGAAGTGAGCCCGGCCTCACAGCTGGCACACGGGGCCGGGTGGGCCGCGGACCGGGGACCGGGCGGGACGCCGGCTCTGAGCCGGGCCGGGCCGCAGGGCGGGGCGGGGCGTCCGGGTCGGTCAGGCGGCGCACGTGATCCGGCCGCCGGGAGCCGGGCGCTGACGCCGCGTCACCCCACCCGAGGCCGCGCACCCATTGGCTGCGCCGCGGGCCGGGGCGGGGCTCGTCCGGCCGGCGCCCCCGCCGCTCCCGGCGCGCGTCCCCGCGGACTTGCTCTCCTCACCTGTGAAATGGGACGCCGTCCTACCGGGGAGTAAGGGGTTAACGTGGACGCGCGCAGCCCCGGCATGCGGCGCGGTGCGAGCGCAGAGCCCCCAGGAGGGTCGGGGTAGGGGCTCGCAGAGGAGCAGGTTCCCCGAAGAGCCGCAGCCCCAGCCTGCTTTCCCAGCCCTCCCTGGACGCTTACCCGGCTGGTCTCAGGCTGCGCAGCGAAGTGTGGCCTCTTTGGTGGCAGATCCTTACCCCCTCCCACGACTGGGCCCTACAGGAGGCTTCACTGCAACTGGCGGCTTGAGTCCAGGCTGCAGGTCTCCGTGGGCCTTGCCTCACCTTCTCTCCTGAGCGGCTGCAGTTCTGTGTGCATATTGACTGAGTGTGCTCTTTACATATGCGGTAAACGCGTCTAAAGGACAGTCAGGCAGGTCTGTCGTGACCGTGACTCCAATACACCTTCCCACAGCAGGAAGGGGTGTTCTCATTTTACAGAGACTCAGAAAGGTGAAGTAAGTGGTTCCAGGTCACACAGCAAGTGGGCGAAAATCCGGACCTGCTTCCTGACTCTGAGAAGGTGGTCTTCAGGCTTCACTTAGCACCCCCTCCTCTCCCCGGGAGGGGCTGTTGGAATTTTCAGGGAAGCCACCAGATTCCCAAGGCCCCCTGGGTGCTTGGCTCCTACTTGGGGGGTGGTGGGGTCTAGGGCGTCAGGATGCAGGGGGCTGAGAAAGGGGATCCCTCTGTTCCCCAGCAGAAGTTCATCCGGAGGGCCAGGCCCTGAGGGGGGGTCCTTGAGCAGGGCCACTTGGGGAACAGATGTGGTTTGGAGGCCCCCGGGTCCTGGCCACCCCTGTTCTGGGTAATTTTCCACAGCAGCCACTTCCGGGAGGGGAACAAAGAGCCCTGCGTGTCCGGGCTGAGCCTCAGGGACTTGGGCCTCCAAGGACTCTCTTGGCCTGGGCAACCCCCTTCCAAAGTGCGCCACTAATTTCACTCTGTCAGAGGGTGTGGCCAGACAGGCTATATCTGGAGCCTGAGCAAAGCAGTACTCTGGATGGCTGGATTCACTGAGGCAGGGGGCTAGGGAGGCCTGGGGATCCAGGCCTTTGATAAGTCTCCTTGGCTGCCCCTACCAAGGGTGCCTCTCTGCTTGCATACCTCCAGGGACAGGGAGCTCACTGCTTTCCCACTTTCAGTACCTGATGTTAGTTCTGGTTTATCTCAATCCACCTCATTAGACCCCTCCCTTGCCACCTATCTCTGCCCCCAATCCACAGGACGCAGGGTCCAGGGTCCAGCCCTCTCCCCAGCCTAGCTGCCTCCTCTGACCTGGCCCCAGCCTGTCATGATCCAGGGCAAGGTGGCCCAGGTCTAAAGCACAGTCTGCTCCTTCATCCCAGCTGCTCCTAGGGACAGACACCGAGATGTGAGTCTCTCCCTAGGATCAGCTGGATGGGAGATGGGAGTCAGA